CAAAGCACCCACGTCAGATAACGCGGTTGCAAAACGCCAGTGCCAGTAACGAAATGTTAAACTATTCCTAGGTAGCTAGGAAGGATTCATATATCATTAAATGGCCCACAAGAGTCTCGTCGCAGAGCAAGGCAGCTCATCTTTCCACGTGCCTGATAAGCGGGATTCAAAACAACTAGTGTCATCAAACTCGGGAATATATATACTCTTTTTAGGGCGATTGCCCTGTGTTGTTCTCGACAGGAAAATTATTAGAAGCCAGGAGTTCCGTAGTTTTGATAGGGTTGATTCTGAGTCTGGAGCGGCGAGATCCCCATATCGAACCCATCGAGGAACGGATTTTCTTCCACACCGACAAGAGCCTGCATCGAGGAAAACAAATCAGGCAGTTGACCTGATGTCCTGAAGCGAGGTTGATGAGTATAGTTGAAGGTCCGGATGGATTCATCCAAGATTTTCTGTGCTTTCTGCTTTTGTCGGGCGTCGAGGAACGGCACATTCCCCTTGAGTGCTTCATCGTCCCAACGAGTGCCGAATGCAACTTGCAACGCAGGAATCTCTGCCGAAGGAAAACTGATTGTCCCCTGGTGGATACCATCGGGAACATCGGTGTATCCCGGAAAGAACAGCTTCCACCACTCAGCCCACTTTTGAGGCGGCCTTAGACTGGGATTATTGTATATTTTGTCCATCTCCTCATAGAGATCAATCCCAATCTCGAAACTTGAGCCGGTGTAAAGGCCAGGCGTGCAAGCTGATGGGTCCTTTTGTCGCTGGTTGAGGTGCACCGCATCAGCGCGCCTACCGCTGAGCTTCAGCCCACAAGTTTCACACCCGTAGTGGTGCTTCCGAAAATGTTCCCAAAGATGTCGGAATTCAAGACCGTCTTTTGCGCAACCGGGATTGGTGCCCATATCGCCAATAGGTCTTCTGCACAGAGGACAGTCCCATCTGATTTGTTTGCCACGCGTCCTCGGTCTCTTAGGTTCTTTAGGCCGCTCATCCCCGTCATTATTACCATCTTCCTCCGCCTCATCACTCGTAGGGGCTGTGCGTTTGCTTCCACCACTGCTTCTTGAGCGTGTCGTAGCAGGCGAAGAGGATGGCTGGGTCGACTGCGGTGAAGACGAGGCAGGCGCATTGCCAGATCCAGCTGCGTGTTGCCTGAGGCCTTCTAGATTGGAAAATGTTCCTTCGAAAGCAGCGTCTGGCGGGGAGCTTGCGATCGCACCAACAACTGAGCGGGCATTTTCGGGACCAAAGAATGCCTCCAGTTCATCCACCATGTTCATCTCCGTATCTAAAATGGCTTCGTCATCTCCGTCACAGGTGACTTGATCGTCGTCACATGGAGGGACTGGCCAGCAGGTCTGGATGGAGGAAGTGCCGAAGCCCTTTGCTCTCTGTTTGAGATTGTCAGATAAGTTCGGTACATTCAGGCGGACGCAGGCCTGCTGAGAACCGCGACATTCCTCATTGGATATGATCAAGGGAGCTGGGCTCCCACCTGCCACAACGGATACCCCATTCCACGGTGGTGAAGTGTCACTAACCTGAATACGGGGCGGCTTAAGTGTAGGAGGTTGTAGGTATTTGATTGTTGTCGATCCGGCCAGGCTGGTCGTCGACTCCTGCACTCGGCTGCCAGAGCGCACGCCCGTTACGGCAACTGAACATCTGTCGTGGTCAGCCCGAGTCGGAGTAGGGAAAAGGAGGTTTGTGGTGGGGTTCGCGTCGCAGAGAGCCTGCAAGAGGGGTTGATTCGAAACCGGTTGCGCACCGACATGGATGACATCCTGTTCTCGACCGGTTGATTGTTGATCGTACGTCTCTGCCTCTGCTTTTGACAAGCCGGGTAGGAACATCTTGGGTCTTACAACATGGAGGTATTCATCGGCAAACGAGTCTGCACTCGAGGAGTCGGAGAAGGCGAGTGATGGTGCCTCGCTCAAGCTTGAAACCTGAGCGTCACTGTCGTCCGACTTCTGGCTTAGGCTGCGGTAGCTTGGGAGTCGGTTCAGGACATCCGCATAAGCTGACAACTCTTGCAGGCCGGAGCGTCCGGTAGGCGTGATAGAGGGCTTTCTGGATTGAGCCATTTGACATACATGGTCCAGGTCCAGATATTCTCCTCCATCTGGCCTCAATGAAGTATGCCACGAGCCATTCCCGAGCAACTCGTCTCCCTGCAGATATATTGCTGTTCTATCCATTTGAAAGCAGGGATACTCCTCGGGCAATGCCTCCAAGGGATCGAATTGGGCAGGAGACTCTGACAGCTCGTAGGGGAGGTACGGTTCTTGGATAGAAGGATGATGGAGGCCAGGCCGAATTGAACAACGACAAGGTGGTCGGTATATCGAACGCAGCTAACGTCGTAAAGGACAGAGCACCCCTATTTCCAAAGGTCAACGGGAATGCTCGTTCCCAACGAAGGCCACCTCGGTTCTAATAGCGAGGGGGTTCGAGCGTGCCACTTATTTTTTCAATTCAAATTCAACACATCAGGCAAAACAAGTAACTAGTTGCTCCAAAGTCTTCCCTCGTAGAGAAGGAAGAGAAGTCGAAGTGCAGACATGGTGCCGGCGCGTGAGAGGTCAGTCTCGGGGGAGGCAGTGCGTTGGTGCGCAGGTCTCAGTTGTGATGGCTGCGCAACTGCGCAGGGCATGAGATGAGCGACAGTGAGATCAAGGTGGGATGCACTTGGTATTCGGTACTTGGTACTTGGTAGGGAGTGGTTATGACGTATCATGTGTTCGCCGAGACGCCTAGTAAGTCCTAGTGCGGCTCTGCGGCGTCACGCGGGCCCTGGCAGTGGTCGGCACTGGCTGCAGCATCTCTGTGGCTGGTGTGGCTGTGGCTGCTACCGCCACTGCCCCTGCAACTGCGGGGTCGGAGACTGGTCGACTTCCCAGCGTCAATCGAAACTCGGTCATCATCAAAACACCATCCCCATCCCCCGCGCCCCATCCATCACCACCATCATCACCACCATCATCACCACCATCATCACCACCATCATCACCGTCATCTCACCGCATCGCATTCTTCCATCATTCTCGAATCAGACGTCTTGTGCGCAACTGCGCATCGATAACCACGAATGCATTGAAGTGGGGTTGCGCAAGTCGACCTCTCTTTGTCGCCCGCTGCCGCTTCCTCCCTGCGACGATGTACGCTGCTGCTCGTCGCTCGCCAATGCTGGCCGGCGCTCATATACAGCTTCATGTGGACGTGTTGTGCCATCGCACCCGTCGCACTCGTTGATGCCCTCTCGACGAGGTGCAATGTCGCTGTACAGGTCAACGATAAGCGTGCAAATGCTCGTCCAAGAGGTAAGATGGATAAAAACGCCTTCCTAACCATGCTGCGGGTAAGGATTTCGCTCCTCCCATCAATCAATCACAATCACAATCCAGAGTCAGAACAGTGCCAGAGCACGAGCACAAGCTCAAGACGAACATGTCCCCAACCCACACAATTCGATCAGGTCACTATCTCGGCCCTGCCACGAACGTCAACCCAATCTCGAGAATCACCTGGCGGCTCATCGTGTGTCACCTCGGAGCCCACTACCTACACGAGGTGGCCCTTCTGTCCACGGACTGTGGCCCCGATATCATGGCGAAACTTCTTGAGGAATACAAACACTCCGAGTCTTGGCTTGCCCACTTTGTTCCGTTCATGTTTCCCATGGTTTATACGGCTGCGCTGGCTGCGGTATGGCCTCTTTCACTGTTCAATCTTGTCCAAGGTCCTGATGTATGTTTTTAGGTTCCCATCGAGAACCTCACCACCACCCTGCCCTGTCTCGTTGACGTTGATGCATTAAACTACTCTCACGTTTTGACCTCGGCCCTGCGCCAGCGACAAACAAGGACGACTCTTCCGCTCACTCCTTCATTTATAACATCCTATGGCCGCTTCGCAGTCCTCCCTGAAGCTCCCAACAACACTGTTTCTCGTGACGCAATCTTGATCAAGCTAGAATTGAACAACCTCGCACTGTTGGTGTTTTTGACCTTGGCTTTTCTCATATCCGTTGCTGCCGGTGTTTTTGCTGGATTGATAAGACAGAGTCTTGATACAGGCCTTGGTGTCTTTGGAGCAGTAGCGGGCGCGGTGGGACTTGTGGAGGGATATGCGACCTGGAAGTTGAAGTAGACAAGGAGGACAAGATGGCAGTGAAGGGCCAGGAGAGAACGGGAAGGAGAAAAGATGTATGTGTTGTGGCGTATATGCATTGGCCATTTACTCCGGCGGGGGACATATATGTATTTAGGCACTGCCTCGTCGCAATCAAATTGTATGGATAGGATACTGGACCTTGATAACCTCTTCATGGCTCATTCACCTTGTTTGCTCCACTGGCTGAATAGGAGCAGCTTTAGCGAAGGACCTGTCCTATAATGGCTCGTACCTAGCTGGCGAGCTAGAGGCCTCCTTGTACGGATCCCGCCCCCTTTGGCAAGTATGAATGTACATCGGGGAGCCGCGATGAAATGCGTCAAGACCCTGTGTATCCCCTTGTTTCCAGGAATCAAAAGGTGCAAGCAACGTGATGAAAAGTTCAGTTAGATGACGTCGTTGCTTCGGATCAAACAGATCAAGCCTCTCCGCGACATTTCGAGACGACGTGAGCCCAATCGCGAGGTGCGAGGCTAAAATCTATCCTGGAACATGGGTGCTCGAATTCCGTAATTCTTCGGGATAAGGCTTTAGCGTTGGCGAAATACACACATACGCAGGGGACATTGGCACAGACGAACAGGACCACAACAAATGGTCAGAATGCTCGAGATATAAGTCCTCGCCATTTACCCAGCTCATCACTTTGAATATCAATCTTCCGAAACACAATCAAGGGAGTTGCATCACCCTTAATTTTTGTGGAAGCAGCAAAACGGCAGCCCTACCTCCTAAGGTCCCGATTCCCTTGAGCGCCTTTAATATTGTTGGCGAGCTCTACCGCCCTACTGCGAGTCCTAGCTCTGGGAAATATGCCGCGGTCGTCCTCAGCACTCCGCTCTCTTCAGTCAAAGAGCAATCTACTGCGGTATACAGACGGTACCTCTCTGATCCTAGCTTCCTTTGTCTTGCCCTTTGACCCAGCGTACCAAGCGAGTCGACAGGCGAACCTCGGCTCCTCGAGAATCCATATCAACGTGTCGAAGACATCAAGTGCGCTGTTACTTACCTATCCCTGCTCCCGGAGGTTGACGAATCAAACATCGGGGCCCTGGGGATCTACGGGAGTGGCGGCTATGTCCCGTTTGCGGCGCAGACTGACACGCGCATCAGAGCCGCAGCAACTGTAAGCGGCGTGTGCGTGAGACGATTGACGCGGGGCGGCATCTTGAAGCCTGTTGATCCAAGTGCTCTCCAAACAGGCCTCGATATGGCAGGCAAGTTGCGTATCGAAGAGATGCAAGGTGCCAAAGGGCAGATCATGCCTATTCTGCTCGACAATCCCGAAGACGTCCCTGATTTGCAAGATTTTATGTGGAAGGACACCGCAAGGTATTACAAAAGCGAGCATGGTAGGCACCCAAGGTGTGCAAGTGCCTGGGCGACAAGAAGTGGGACTGATGGCGAATTACGACTTGTACAATTTCATAACCATCATCAGTCCAAGGCCGTTGCTGATGATTGCTGGAAGCAACGCAGATTCGTTGAGATTCAGCCAGGAGGCCATAGCTTTGGCGAAAGAGCCGAAAGAGCTGTATGCGACTCCGGGTAAGACGCATGCGGAACTAGACGATGAGGTGGAGGACAGTGGGCCGAAGTTGGTCAGCTCCTTCTCACAGGCTTTGAGTTTCAAAGGCACCGCTTAGCTGTGTTTATTCCAAGATTGTTCGTTTGCGATCACAAATTCCAACCACAGCTGTGTAATCTAGCCAGTATTAGACTAGCGCTTAGGAATTGTAAACCTCCAACATGCAGCTGTGGCATGAGTATCTAGTAGGTGCTTGTAGGTATTAACCCTGCTATAGATCCTGTCTGGATGCAATCGAGGCTATGATGAATACGTCCAGAGGATCCACGCAGGCTAGGTGGGTGTTGAAATCCTGCACGGAACGCCAGCGTCGAAAACAAAAGGTAAACTTGGAGTTAGCCTGCTACCAGTCATGCTGGTCATCTCTAGTCTTGCCAGCAGTGCAGTCGTGAATGGCCCTGCCATCATTGCCGTTCAAGGAATGCGCCTCATCTGTGCACATTCGGGCGAAAGACAAGCATCAGGTAAAGTGTGCAGCGTGCAATGGACGTCAATACTCCAGTTCAGCTGATGGGTAGTCGAAGTTCACCAAGATGCAAAATTAACACGCCACCGACCTTGTCAACATCATGGGCGCCTCAGTTATGAATGCTGACGCCGGCTTGAAAGCTTGGGGTTACATGGCTGACCACCAATATTACTCTAGTCTTGACACCCTCTCACAACAGGCGGGCACCTGATAGCACATTTGGAATTACTGGGTATTGCTGATCCCGTCCAGACTCCTAGCAAACATCCCCCTTCCGTGAGCAACGCTCAACCGGAAGAAATTGCACATGTGCTTCCGATCATTCTTCCATGGTCCTTGACAGGTGCAAGCCAATATTCTTCCTATTTTGAGCCACATGTGCTAATGATGCAGATATGCTCGTGGTGAACTTTTTGCATAGCGTCACCAATTACTACTACGCCATATATCCACCACAATTTCTTGAAGAATATTTCCGATGGTGGACAGGCAGGGCCAGCAACCAGAACCCTTCTCTGGAGTTCACCTGCCTCCTATTGTGAGTCTGTTCACACTCCGCACCGTACCTGGACGAATCGAAAAGGAAGCGAATCGAAAGGGAGCTTTCCGAAAGTGACCGATCTCTTAGCGAGCGCTGCCACCATACTGCCGAACGGCTGAGTCATACATTAGGTCCAGGTGTTGGCGGCTTGATACAGGTCCAACAGCTTTTTCTTACTGCATGTTGGTTCAAGTCTGAAGCTCGCTTTGTTGAGTCGTGGCACTCCTTGAGCTCCGCCATCCGCGAGGCACCAGAATTAGGTATGCATAATGATTCCATCTCCAGAGGATTGACCGAGTTCGACCTTGAAATGAGGAGGCGGGTCTGGTGCGTTCTTTACATATGGGATTGGTGGGTTGACACAGTTCAGGCAAGCACTAGCTCACCATCATCAAGGCAAATATCAACATGGCTTTCGCGGCCCCGGCTTATTGACCACGGCAGCTGTTCCTTTGAATTGCCCAATTGTCGACTCGAAGAATCAAATTCTCAACGAGGCTTGGTTTCGCCATTCACGCACGTGAAACTCTACTGTCAGATTGCCCGAGAGTTGTCTGGGAAGTTCGGAAAGGTCAATGGTGATCCAGGACAAATCTTGGAGGAGCAGAAGGAGATTGAGGCTTGGATGAATTCCTTTCCTCCTGTCCCCGGCATCACTATACCCGACACATCGTGGGGCATGGCATTTCCTCACCTCGCTTTGCAGCGTCATCAACTGCACGCGCTGGCGTTCATGACCCTTTCGGGTCCTCTCAAACCATACCTCACCAAAAGCCTTCCTCGAACAGAAGTCCCAAATACGGAAGCCAAACTACCAGCCATTGGTGTTGACTGCTGCTTGAAGCTCCTGGACTCTGCGCAGAGGCTTTTCGATCTGCTTTTTCCGACGGGCGCGAAAAATTTCCTCCTAAGTTGGTCTTCTTTGATACTGCTACTATTCTATGCTCGGCTGGGATGCAGGACGGAAACATCTGCCGACTTCCTCCACGAGACAAAATCTTCGAAGCAATCAAGTTTGCTCTAGGAAGGTTGAAACAGCTCAGTTATGCATCAAGTGCCTGTACTTTATCACACGACATCCTTCGTAAGCTTGTGGCTGTTTACCTTCGTCCGCTGGCCAATGGCCACTTGTGGATTTAGATCCTACACAACGGCAAATGATTCCGTCAGTAACCACTCCGAAGTCCGGATCGAGCATGGAAATGTCATTCGCAGGCGACGGAATCTTGATCGTTTCCACGATCTCAAGAGTGTGGAAACGGGCTCAGTTGGTTATTCATCGCAAAGATCGCAGAGCAGGGACGGATTATCATCCTCCGGAAGGGGCAGTCTCCCAGGTCTTCTTAGCGTCGAGCTTGGTCAACTAGGAGAGATCGGGAACTGGGATATGCTCAACCTCGATCCGGATTAAAAAATGGCTGCAAGCATCGTAGGTCCCATTTGAAGAGCATTGCCAAGGATTCGAGTCTGATCCGAAGAAGTGACGTGTAGAAAGTTCCGACAAGGGGCTTGGTCATCTCCTATGCCTGTAGATAAAATTGGCTGAAAGGCGAAGTCAAGGTTGGGGTGAGGACAGGGCGGCATCACTTGTATCCCAATCCATGTGGCTCAATGGAGGACGTGATAGCTTCTAACAGGGCCATAGGGACCAGCCTGACATACCCTGTAGTGACGCTTGTTCGGTAATTCCACAAGGGTATCGACGCTAGCCGTCAGAAGTCTGTAGGCCTTCGGGCGGAGGACTAGCGTGACGGTCTTTACATGTCTTGGTCTACTGTGTCAGTCACATCCAGGGTGAAGCGTGACAAGAGCGCGATCACGTTTCACTGTTTCATCGTTGGCGGCAGAAGCGCTCGCTTGTCGAAACCAGGAGGAGGAGGAACCTTCCCCTGTGTACTTGGTAGAGTTGTGGAGAAGACGTTTCTTCTTTAAGCTCCCCTTGATAGGACTTTTTTTTTCCCCCTTCTATATCCTAGATTGTTGCGCCCGGGCTTTCTTTTCTCTGCTATCTGGCCGGCTCCAGACTGCGAGGTATTCCGGCGCCAATCCTTCCCAAGTGCGATTGGACATTTTATGCAAGACCGAAACTTATACGAGGTCAATCTCCCAGAGTCGCCAAAACGCCAACTACGAGTCTTTGAAGAAGAATAGACCTGTGGTATTTCGGAAAGCTAGGTCACTATATCAGTCCGCTTGGGAAAAGAAAAAGAACAAAAAAAAAAAAAGAAAAGAAAAAGACGGGGGTAGCAGAATCATGGTGTTAAAGCCCTCAGGACCATCGCCAAAAGCCCCCAATCCCACTCACAATCAAGATGTGGTGCAGCGGCAGCATCACCAGCCCAAACTATCATGGTCCCGCCACATCACGCTGGACCTGATCCTGTTGATCTTGGCCAACTCCGTCTTCCACCCGTGGATCACGCTGGTCTTCTACCTGTGCCTAGCCGCCGTGCATAAGCACAAGGAACCCCTCGCCTACTACACGCTGTACTACACGGCCTTCCTGGCGGTGGTCGAACTGTCCCTCTGGTTCGACCACCGCATCACGCACGGCAGGCACAGAAAGGTCGACTGGGAAGGCGAGGTCGTGGTCATCACCGGCGGGGCGCATGGCCTAGGCAGAGTGCTGGCCGAGATGGTCCTGAGGAAGGGCGCCAAGGTCGCCGTGTTGGATGTCCTCGAGCCTGACGAGGAGGCGCGCGAGGAGATGGAGCGGTGGGATCTTGTCTGGGAGGTGGTCGATGTGAGTAAGACAGAAGACGTGAAGGAGGCGGTGGAGAGGGTAGTTGACTGGGTAGGTTGCACCGTTCTTCAATCTATTTCCTTTTATTGTTCGTTCCTGGGCTCACGATAGACATCAATCAGCTCGGCCCTCCAACTATCCTCATCAACAATGCAGCAACGCCCATCAATGGACTCCCTCTGCTTTCCCCATCATCCAAGGAATCATTAGCGGCAACCCTATCCCCTCAGCAAGTCACCAAAACCATCACAACGAATGCCCTCGGCCACTTCACCATGCTTTCCATCCTCCTTCCTCATCTTCTCTGCTCACCCCAGGGCGCCCACATAGTAACAATCTCCTCCATCCTCTCGCACCTCGCCCCGGCTAGACTGGCCGACTACAATGCGTCAAAATCCGCCGTTTCAGCCCTGCACAGCACCCTGTGCCACGAACTCCGCACCCACCCTGACCCGTCTGTCTTCCACAAGGTGAAAACGATCCTCGTCGAACCGGGTCAGCTATCCACTCAACTGTTTGCGGATATCACGCGTGTGCCGTTTTACGCCCATTTCTTTGGGCCAGTGTTGGAGGCCAAGGACGTGGCGAAGGAAATCGTGCGGTGTGTGGAAAGAGGTGACGGCGGCGTGATTCGCATGCCATTTTATGCCAAATGTGTGCCTTTTCTGGGGGTGATGCCGGGGGCAGCCCAAAGAGTCGTGCGGTGGTGGAGTGGAATCGACCGGGCGATTGTCACGAGGGAGAAGCAGGCCTGAGAAGGCATCCGTGCCGTTGGGCTTGACAGAACTCGGAATGAACGAGTCTGTTGTACCATATACCAGTATTTCGAAAATTGTTGGTTCTTGTCTCCAACTTGGTTGATTTGTCGGTGTTTTAATACGCTTCGTGGGAGTAGTGCCTGTGCGTTCCTAGCTCGTCTCGTCCAGTCTCATTCTGGCTATCGGACGCATGACGGTGGTTCCCTAATCATCGTCATGAATCGTGATCCCAGTCTCCTTGACAACTTCCGCCACGCCAAAGTCTGAGCCTTGCTCCTCTTCTTGACTTCCTTTGAGTGGTATTGGCAATCCCTCCACTTTCCGCTTAGCTCCCTGCGCCTCTCCATCCTCAACAGGCTTCTTCGTTCCATTCACGGCGTCATCCATCTTTTTCTCCTTATCCTTTTTTCCCTTCCTCCGGCTCCTGCGCTCTCGATTCTTTCTGGTTTTCTCCTCATCCCTCTCCCTCCTCTCCCTTTCCTCTCGCTCCCACTTCTCGTTCTCCTCCTCCGTCTTGGCCTCTTCATCCATGGTGCGCAATCTCTCATACTCTCTCCGTCTACTCGCCTTGTACACGTGAAATTCACCCGAGCCCGCACCTGCGCTGGATCCTTGGACGTTCGCAACGATTTCCGGCGGCGCGGGAAGTGATTTCTTGGTGGCGCTCGATGGAGGGGGCAGATGGACGGGCCGTGAAGGGTCTAGAAAGAGATATTCCACTTCGTGGGCCTGCTGCGAGGCCGCACGGGCGTTGGGGTTGGAAGAGTAAGCACCGCGTGCGCGTTTAAGCGGCCGGTGCGACCGAGGATCAGCAGAAGTAGGGATTGATTCCGGTATGGGTTCAGACATGTTTGCGAAGGGGACATGCCAATGTATGTGATTTGAGTAATCAGGCGGCAAGTTGAAGGCGCACGGATGCACCGAGAGAGAAAATCCAATATCAGAAGAAATCGCTCACGGCGCAACTGCAGAGTGACGTACGGACGTTGGAGTATCGAGTACTGCGGAGTACTTAACTCGGCTCGTGGGTGCCAAAGGAGTCAATGATCTGCTGTAGCTTTTCGTTACGGCGACGCATAACGCCGCGCCCCTCCATTCTCCAGAGCAATTCAATGCGATGGCTCAAGACGGCTCCACGATACAGAATGGCGCCACATAGATATTCGTGTGTATAAAGAATTATTGCACCAGCCACTAAAAGCTCTTCAAAGCTAGGCTCACGCATAACGGAACTTATATTTTCCCCATGGACCCACGATAGAAACACGAGTACCATTGGACTTTAATCCTCGCTCTCCCTCAAGCTGTGGACGAAAAAGCATTCGATAGCTCCTGTTGGCATTTTGCGCTATAATGACCGCGATCATTAAGTATCTAGCGATTGAATACAAAAGCGCTGAGTTCTCAATATGGCTCAAAACAGTTCGGCAACATGTTTCAAAAGAACATATGAGGTAACCACTACCGCCAGACCATCTCAGAAACTAAGCTCACCAACCCTACCTAGAACGCGCTGAAACTTCTCGAAACTAGGAGAAGAAAAGTCAGGCCCAAGCATGTAGCTAACGCTATTCCCAATACCACCAACAAGACTTTCACTGAAGCTCGTTCGTCTCTCCGCGGGACACCGAGCATTACAGGCATGAGCATCTGGCTGCAGAAGATAGGCTATACGGTATGTGGTCGAGGCTCCTGGTCAACGCTAGTAATGCTCATAATGACAAACACTGAAGGATACCGATGTAGCAGCCTTGAACATTGTCCACGTCGCTGGGACGAAGGGCAAAGGCAGTACTTGTGCCTTCACTCAATCTCTCTTACAAGAATGGGGCAAAAGAACAGGGTTCCCAAGCAAAATTGGTCTCTACACTTCACCTGATCTTACATGCATTCGAGAACGGATCCAAGTTAACGGGAAACCGATCTCAGAGGATTTGTTCACCAAGTACTTTTTCGAAATCTGGGATCGGTTGTTCTCACAGGATGATAGAATCGTTACCGACGGTGAAAGGCAGCCTCGATATCTGCAATTCATGGCTTTGCTAGCCGTTCACACCTTTTTTCGGGAGGGGGCCCAAGCGGCCATCTTCGAGACCCATCATGGTGGCGAGTACGACGCTACAAATGTTGTCTCTGCACCCGTAGTGACCGGAGTAACCTCCATCGGACTAGATCATCTGGCTCAGCTGGGCCCCAGTATTGAGGACGTGGCTTGGCACAAGGCAGGTATCTTCAAGAATGGATCTCCTGCTTTCTCTGTTCCGCAGCTTCCCGCAGTCGAAACTGTGTTACGATCTCGGGCAGTTGAAAAGGGCGTCCAGTTTGAAGTCGTTCCAGTCAATCCTTCTCTGCCTCTCCATGCAAACGCGTTGCGTGCGCCGGTGCAGCGAATGAATTGTTCCTTGGCCATCGCGTTGGTCAACGCTTTCCTCTCCAAAAAGAGCCCCAATGAGGAAACGGAGCTTAGCGATCAAGATATCGCGAGAGGTGTCGAGAACTTTTCATGGCCTGGCCGATTTGAGGTGATCAAAACGTCCAGATGTACTTGGTTCCTCGACGGAGCTCACAATGAGTTGAGCATTGGGCAAGCGGTTGAGTGGTTTGCTGAGATGACGATGGCTTCTTCTGAGCGGGATGTTTTCCAACAAACTTCCCCGTATATGATCATCTTCTCCCATATGTCGGAAGAGCGAGATGGCCCGTCGTTGTTAAGAGCATTGGCGGCTGCGGTCGAGCGGAGTGATATACCGTGTCCTGAGATGGTGTTTACAACGTACCAGGAACGACGTGATGGGAAGATTCGACCCGGTAGGCCACTTGTCGGTCTTCAGTATTTCGTGCTGACAGGATTCAGATAAGACTTTGAAACCTCCGGAAAACTGGCTGGCCGATCTTCCGAAACAATACTGCGACTTATGGAGGGCGATTCATCCTGCTGCAAAGACCAGGTACATACCCTCCATTGAGGAAGCATTGGGATATGCAGACAGTGCCAGCTCTCAACGCGGGAGTTTGCAAGTTTTGGTGACTGGCAGCTTGCACCTGGTCGGTGGCGCACTTTACTTGCTGCAACGGTGGAAAACGGACGAGCACTGAATAGTATGGCCACAGCAGTTCCGACGATCTCGTGATTTTAGAGATGGTACTGATAATAGCCGCTTTGGTGTTTAGGAATGAGGACCCATCACCAACATCAGACATCTTTCATCCCCGATAACTCGACGACCCATTCAATGCCAGGCCCTAATCTCTGGTTGTTCACCTGAACAAGTTCTTGTTCAACAAGCAGAGGCGGCATATTCAGGTTTGACCGGGACCTTACTCCGCCGGTTTTTGCTGACTGGTCTTGAGGCTCTTTTCGTGTAGATATTGGTGTCACGAAGGCTGGCATGATTATCACCACTATTGCCGCTGCATGTCAAGAATCATGCGAGCTTTCTCCTTCTACTTTCGCCAGAGCTTGATTGGAGAGACTTATCGATGGCATCGAAGGCAAATGCAACCCCAAGGAGTCCTAGACTGATGTTACAACCAGAGTGCAATAGTGATGGAGCACACTCCAGACTTTCCGAATACACCATGTCTATCGTTTACCGGACTGGATGCCACCGGGACACTAGATGATCCAGTTTCATGAATCAATAGCCAAGGGACCAGAAGGAGGGAGTGATTGTGAATGTATTCGAGTCCTATCAGTCTGTGCTAGTCTCGCTTCGTCAGCCTTCTTGAAGCTAGGTAGGAGGCCTGGTCAGATTACCCATTGCTCTGGACGGAGCACCGTTCTCGTACTTTTACTTGCCCGATTTTGGCCACGTCCCCCTGACCGCTTCTGAGGAGCTCGTAATACCTCGCTACTGCCTCCAAGCTCACTAACCTCAACGGCTTTGGGCGGGCATCCCGCGAGCCGAGGCTTCGTTCAGTCCGCCTTTTTGTGGGGTTGCATATACCCGACGATGACCGAGTTTTGCCATGGGAACTAATTACCTCCTCTACTCATCGTCAGGTAGGTAGTTGGTTTGATGTCGGTGTCGCTTTGAGTTCGAGAGGCCCTGTTTTGTCATTGTCTTTTGTATGTGGTCGTTGTTCCGAACTTCTTCTTGCTCTTGTTCGTTGTTCTTCCTCACCAGCCTCCTCCTCCTATCAGTAGCCGCGCGTTCCCATCTCTCTGTCCTCTCGATTCTGATACCAGGGCTGCTTCCGGCATATTCATAATATTACATACGCGGTCGTGGGGCAGATCCGAACCCGGCAAGCAAACAAGCATGGCGACTGCAAGCAAGTACAAGTACACGGATATCATCTTTGAGATCAAGGGCAAGATAGGCATCATCAAGGTCCGTCCGGTCATGATGAAATGGACCAAGTCTTCTTTTCCTCTGCTTTTCTGCCTTTAACGTTACGTCTCTACACAGTTTAACCGGCCTAAATCCCTTAATGCGTTCGGCGGAAGCCTCCTCGGGGACACAGTGTCGGCGCTCCGCGAGCTCAATGAACATCCCGACACCGTCTTCACCGTCCTCACGGGTGAGGGCAGGTTCTTCTCGTCGGGCGCTGATGTGAAAGGTACGTTTCACCGCGAACCCCCTTCCATTATTTATTCATTTCTTCCTCTTTTAGACCTGCTGCAGCTGCAGGAGAGGCCAGGGGATGTCATTTTGTTCTGTCTACTAAAGCCACCCTTTTTGCGAATATCAGACTTGATGCTGAATAATATGCAACTTGTAGCCGCCGCTGGTAGACAAGCCGTCGAATACGCGAACCCCGCGGCGAAGAAGATCGACTTTATGGCGAGTATCAGCACGGGTAAGATTCAATTCGACCCATGCAAACCACTGCCTATACTGGATGTTTGACTGAAACGGAGTATCTGCCTCTAGCTATCGAGCTTCTCCGCTCCATGATCGACCACAAGAAAGTCCTCGTGCTGGCACTCAACGGTCCCGCTGTTGGCGGTGGGGCGGCGTGGTTCGAAGGCATTGCGGACATCGTCCTGGCCGCTGACACGGCATATCTCCAAGTACCCTTCAGCGCGTTGGGCCTCGTCCCCGAATTCGGCTCCGCGACCGCCTTCTACCACTCCATAGGTGCCCACCGGGCCAACGACTTCCTCATGTTCGGCCGCAAGTTGACTGCCCAAGAGCTCGAGCAGTGGGGGATGGTCAACCGCATCTTGCCCACCCAGGGCTTCCACCAGAAGGTCATCGACTTCTTGGAGGACCAGCTCAGCATCAACGACGGCAAGTCGATGATGGAGACCAAGCGCCTGCAGAACCTCCCGCTGAGGAGGGAGAGGATGCTTGCGGTGTATGATGCCGCGGAGGCCCTGGCGGAGAGATTCGTCGAGGACGCCCCGAAGCAGAGGTTTGCCGAGAAGAACAAGCTGTTGCTTGGTAAGTCGAGGGGCGGTGCTTTATACTAATAGCAAGGAACGGCTAACGGGTTGGTCAGAGAAATCGAAGTCCCGGTCGAAGCTTTGAAGGGACGACTTGGAACGCACACTGAAATGATGAAAAAGTAGCCGAAATCTCAGCGCTGGTTGTCGATTAGTTTGTTAGTCTGTCGGAAGAATGGGCTTTTTGGGGAGTTGAAAACTGTGCCAATGTGTCGAGATATAGCTTCCTCCTTGCAGTCGTAGTCGCCTCTCGAAAATTGAGGATGTTGCTCGGTATCATGCCCACTCAGGCATTTTAATCTGCCCGTCTTTCAGATTTCACCGCCGCAATGATCGCGAGGAACTGAGTGCCCAGCCTGAGCCTACTGAGCCCAGCCTCGTAGCCTCGTAACTTTGTATGGGATAGCCGAGGTTCATACACGTCGATCGGCCCAGTGTCCCAAGACGTCCAAAATATCCAGCTTGTTGCAATCCTTCTACGGTACTGTAGACTCACCACCGATTTCGATCCCTCTTTCAATCCAAATTTAGTTGTCAAAATATCCAACGGTAATTAAATAGCGAGGCGGTGAGAGAGGTTGGATATTGTTGAATACAGTACCTGCTGACCGCGCAACTGCTGATCGTCGACTGCCACTATTTCCTGTGTGAGGCGCGTTCGGTTGAATCATGGCAAACACCAAGGAATACGACATTCCAACTACTGCTCCAACCAGGCTGAGACAAATTGCGCTCATTGCAGAAGACCTTGACCGCGCTCGAGATCTGCTGGTAGGTGACAACTTCTGTCTTGGCTAGTCAACTCCGACCCATTCCAGCTCACCTTGTGACGACAATGTGAAAAAGACAAGGATTCTTGACACGGAAGTTGTATTCGTGGACCCGCAGGTGGCGCGATGGGGTCTGAAGAACTTTCTAGGTATGGACCCTCCGCTGTCCTGAACGTTGTTACGTTGGTTCTTATGCCCACTTCTGACCGACGTGCTGTCTCTTATGTAAAACCCAGTGGCTATTGGAGGCGACATCATCGAAGTGTGCTCCCCTTTTCAGCCTGACACGACAGTGGGGAGACTTCTTCAGAAACGAGGCGATGGCGGGTATATGATCATCATGCAGACCTTGGATGCTGCCGCTAGAAGAAAATACATTGAGTCGAGGAACCTGGCCAAGGTCATCTTCAACCATCCGCACGGAGATGTCGAGTGCGTCCAGTATCATCCCAAGGGGATTGCTGGTAAGTATGGCGAGTATTCCGGAACCAAGACATACGCAAAGCTTCCCTCTTTCTCAAACAGCTGGTGAGACTGACGCGGCGAAGGAGGGATGATGCCAGAATTAGATTCTCATGCGCCGTCGGCCACGAATCCTACTCCCCTGGACAGCCCCTTCAGTCCCTGGCACGCTTGCGGATTGGATTACGAAAAGTACTCGGCTGGGATGAGGCGTTGTGCACACCTGAAGCTGGTCAAGGCAACCCTTCGCCTGGGTCCGGGCCAAACAGACGTCGACGCCGCCGCTCAGCAGTGGCAGGACTATTTCGGAGTGGAGAAACAGGGGAGCGAGCTACTCTTTACAAACGCCCGCTTAAACTTCGTGCCGGGAGTGGATGGGCTGCCTGAAGGACTGGAGAGCCTCATCATCGAGGTCAAGGGCAAAGAGAGGCTCGACAAGATGTTGGAGGTGGTTCGCAAGGAGGGCCTTTGTGGCGACGGGTGGACGAATCTGCTGGGCGTGAAATGGCACTTCGTGCTGCGGGACGACGGGAAGGATGAGGTCAAGGGGAGAGAGAGCAGGCTGTGAGTGTGTAGTCACCCTGAATGCCATTCAAGTGGTAGTGGTGTCAGTGGTGGCAGCAGCAACAGCAGCAGGAGGGCGTATACGGGAGTACCTGGCCGAAGTTACCGTATTCAAGCGTACTCCATCGCCCACATGGCATGAATGTTGCCGGCGATGGTGGCGATGATGTTTCCGTACTCGAGTGACACACATTCCGCGTTTTATGTCAGCTTGTTCCCAAGACGGGCATAGAGCTTCAACCTTGGTACAGGGGGAAATTGGTTGGCTGCGTCCACTGTGCTCAACTGCGCTCTCCTGGCTCTCCTCCTGAAGTGAGGGCTGAGGCCGGCAGTCGGTGCGTCCGCCACGTGCTCACGTGGTGCACAGTCTAACTGCGTCAGGCGGCGCGCATGTCTTTTTGTGCGTTTTGACTTCATCTTGCACCACCAGCACTTTTTCTCCGTGAAAACCAGCCACAGCGAGCTAGAACGAGCCTCCTTGCCATATTCAGGAGCCGTCATGGCCCAATCCAGCTGTTCCACTTTCGCCGTCTCGTCGAGGTAAGCTTTCTTAAGCTTTGAGGGGAGTCTTAACTTCCGTCCGTCAAACTATCGAAGCCAAGGCTCCGTGCTGTCCTTCTGGTCTCCATCAGTCAACCGCTCCCCTGATAAGATCATGCGTGCCTGACATGACGACTGCATCCCTGAACTTGGACGACTACGGAGTCCAAGTCCTTGCTGACGAGAACCCCGAGCCGGCCTCCCGCAGCTCCTCGAGACCTGTCAATGTGCCGTCGACCCAGGCAGAGCAGAAATCAGACGAGACCTTACTATGGAGTACGAGGTACGTGGAGACACAGTCTACTCATGGGTTGCAGGGAGTTCTCTGTACGTACAGTTCGGGTATCCGACCGAAGGGGCCCCCCTTTTCCCGCACATCCGTGTCTCTGCCCCTCGCTCGCTAGCGAGGGTTCGCAATCCGATAAGATTCCTGACCAGGCTGTTCCGTCTTCATCTCCTGCGCACTGGTGGCACGTTTAAATAAGCCAAGGATACGCCACAAGGCTCCGTATGTCTGGCTGGGTTCGTGTTGACTGGCCCAGTCCCACAAAGGGACCAGCGCACAAATCGACCAGCGCACAAAGGGACCAGCCTCGACATCAGTTCATCATGGCAGTTTCGCCGCTGTTCGCTTCCACAGTCGAGTTTATTGTGAAACGCCGTTGTAAGCGGGGGTACCGGGCAGCCTGATCGGCCGAAGAGGGTGACCATATTCTTAAGCCTGGATCGTCCTTCGATATCAGGTTTGTTCTTTCTCACTTTCAGTCTGCCATTGTTTTCTGCATTCACTCTTTTGATATTGTTGGCGCCATTGGCGTCGTCCATTCGTTTTTGTTTTTTCTTACATTGACGCAAGTCAGCGTCGTCCCCTCGTTTGGTGCATAATTCTCCTTTCTCTGGCTGCTGCCACTTTGAAGAATGACACGCGCTTCAGCATGGCTGGTGCTGCTTTTAGCAACCTTCTTCCAGGCCATGCCAGAAGTCTCAGCAGGTCCTCCTGGAAGACCCGGTGCCGCTGCTCCCGCACCCCCTGCCCATCAACCTGCTCCTGCCCCAGCTCCAGCTCCAGCTCCAGCTCCTGCACCCAATCCAGTCAATCCCAGCAATCCTGAAACCACTTCCAAGGCGGTGGCACCTCCTTCACGCCCTTCCCAGCCTGCTCGAGTTTCGTATTCCGGCGCCAAAATAGTTGGGACCGCCCAGTTGCCAGCATCGTTGTCAACCGTTGTATTCCCACAGGGCGCGGCGAGCACTGGCATTCCCAAGCATAGCGGATCTCTAGGAATCGACGGGCTACCTCAGAGCAAGACCAACGGTAAATCGCTGCTCGGCACGCTTTGGGCGCCCAAATACGACAGATATATCGGAGACGCACCAGGACAATGCAACTCCACCGTGGCACCATCGGGAGGGTTTCCTTGGGGGGACCGAACAGCAAGCAGTACCAATCCGTACACATCAGCCCCTGTCACCGGGGTCGTTCGCGCGTATAATTTCGAGATTTCGCGAGGCTATCTAGCTCCCGATGGTGTGGAATTGGAGGTCTTGTATGTTAACGGCGCATACCCCGGTCCTACCATTGAAGCCAACTGGGGGGATACTATCCAGGTCACAGTCACGAATAGCATTACAGGACCCGAGGAAGGCACAGCCCTCCACTGGCATGGGTTGTTGCAACAAGCGTCTCCGTTCGAAGATGGTGTACCGGGCATCACTCAATGCCCTATTGCTCCTGGACAAACCTTCACCTACACCTTTAACGCTGATCTTTACGGAACGTCTTGGTATCACTCTCACTACAGTGCGCAGTATGCTGGTGGAGTCCTTGGTGCGATCATCATTCACGGACCCCAGAACGCTGTATATGACGAGGATCTTGGACCGGTCATCTTGTCAGATTACTTCCATGAGGACTACAACACTCTGGTGGCGGATGTTATGAGCACAGATCTCTCCAAGATCAGTCCATTCTCAGACAACAATCTCATCAATGGCAAGGGATTCTATGACTGCTCCTCGATGGAGGACAATTCGACGTGCACCACCAACGCAGGTCTGTCGAAATTCCAATTCAACTCTGGGGAATCTTATCGACTACGGCTCATCAATGCTGGCGCGGCCGCCACACAACTTTTCAGTATCGACAACCACACTCTTACTGTGATTGCGTATGACTTTGTTCCCATTCAGCCATATACCACCGATGTGGTTACCCTTGGGGTGGGCCAACGCGCTGACGTGATCGTTCATGCCACCGCATCTCCCAGTTCCGCGGTTTGGATGAGATCCATAATCCCTCCGCGTTGCGGGCGTACCCAGCAGCCTGTGGGTCTTGGAATCGTCTACTATCAGAACGCGAACACGACTTCCGAACCGACCTCACAGGCCTGGCCCATCGATGAAACACAGTGTGCCAATGACCCGCTAAGCCAGACTGTCCCATATGTACCAATTACGCCCCCACACTCGAGCGCGACCGTCCAGGTTGACCTCAACTTTGAAATCAACGCCACAGGGCACTTCTTATGGACTATGGACGGCTCTACTTTCCGCACCGATTACAACGATCCCATTCTCCCGCTCGCAATTGCTGGTAACGACAGCTTTCCCGAGGAATGGAATGTGTACAACTTTGGTAGCAACACGAGCTTCACCATAGTCGTCAATAACGACAGCCCTCTCGTACATCCCATGCATATTCACGGCCACAACATGTTTGTTTTGAACGAAGGGAATGGACAGTGGGACGGTACCGTCGTCAACCCTTCTAACCCGATGAGACGGGATGTTGTCCAGCTTCGACCGGGTGGATATATGGCATTTCAACTAAACGCTAACAACCCAGGCGTGTGGCCTTTCCACTGCCACATTGCATGGCATGTTAGCGCTGGTCTCTACATGAACATCCTGGTAAGTGAGACTCGGATCCTTGGTCCTAGCTTGTTGGCTTACTGTTTCTATAGGAGAGGACCGACCTTCTTCCATCAGTCGAGGTTCCTTCCAGCGTGAGCAATTTGTGCAACGCATGGTCCGCCTTCACGGCCGAGGGTCCCATTGATCAGATCGACTCGGGCCTTAGGAAACGAAGCCACAACCACCACCTCGGACGACACAAACACGCAAACATTGTTCGAAGGACGTTGTAAAGAAATGGAACCACGTAGCAGACGGAGGTGGGTCCGAGATGTGGTGAAGAACCGCAGGGAATCAAGAGGTCTTTGCTTCCAGCGAATATATCAGCCATGGAAGACCAGAGGTGTAGTCATCACATAATGGGCTGATGGGCACGTAAGTAATGGAAACGGGCACGCAACATAATACTTACTTTTCAGGGGGTTCAAAGTGGACAGAAAATATATTTTATCAATTACGGGCCGTCGTGCATGATACGTACCTAGTACATGTGTAATTGTTCAATTTGGCCCTTTTGTCGTAACCAGGCACCAACATTCTCTTTTTCCCTTTTTTTACTTTTGTACAGTGTACGCCGTACGGCGAGCTGAATTGGAAAACAAGTGGCAACAAGATTCGGCGGAGTTTGTGGCTCGCACCAAGCAGAATCAAGCACTTTGGGCCCCAAAACAGGGTTAGGCTCTGGTTCCATGCGAGCGGAGCTGAGACAAGCGAGCGAGCGAAAAGAGAATGTGACTTGAACTATGTACGAAGTAGCCTTGCATCTCGCATGATTCATAGCCTCGACTCAGGAAGGAGAGTTACCTCTGCGAAAATGGCTCGTCCGTCATCTGTCTTGCATGTTGCTAAGTATACCCTAAGACACCAAAAAATCTCACACAACTAGTTGGTTGATCAGCATAAATCGGTCGCAACTGTCGAAGCACACAGTCACTATCGATGTCAGCGCCATCTGGAGAGCAGAACCCCGACCATTCAAGTATTGCAGGGCGCAACGTCGAGAAGTTTCTAAATCACTGTCACTCATCTGGACACTTTTCCGTTCAAATCCAATCTCTTCACCAACCATGTTCCTCCTCTCCGCCCCGACTGCCGCTCTGGCCTTGTTCTCCGCCACCAGTGCTGTCCCTCTGGTCACGATCGAGAAGCGTCAAGCGGTTGACGGCACGTTCGGCCTCGGTGTCGGCGATTCAGGCCTCTTCGACCTCGACGAAGTCCAGACCTTCAAATTCTCGTACGCCAACAACTCGGCATACTTCGGCCAGATCAAGTACCAACAGTACTCGGAGCCGCTGGTCATGTCCGGGGCCAAAGTCGCGGTAGACACCGAGGGCGGCTTGACCTTCCTGTCCATCCACTCGGCCCCCACGGGTTGGCAGAACGGTTACATCCAGCCGAACAAGACGGCGCCTTTCCAGTTCAGCATCGCTCATGCCGGCGGGAACATACCCGCCGACGCCGTTTCCACGGGCTTCTCTTTCAGCGGCGGCGGCGGGCCACTGTTGTGGAATGGCGAGAATAAGTTCTGGGCCTGCCAGAGTCCCGAACTGCAGGCCCTGAGTACTTATCAGATTTGGTGGAAGGGCGCGGGCGAATTTCCCCTCGGAGTTGATTGTAAAGGTCCCATTGGCGCCGACATGATTGATGGGTGCCAGCGAGGCAACTAGAGTTCAGTCATGGCTAGGCATCGCTGTGCTTGCATTGCATGGGAGTTTCACTCCTGCTACGTGTCGGACGCGGGTTGTCGCTGTTCGCATCTTTGTCCGAGTTCATTTGTGTTATATGTCATCCTAGGTGGTAAATGTTTACTCTTCAATTGCATTGCGTTGAGAGATGCTAGCGTTAGCGAATCTTTCTAAATAATTTAGCAAGTGGGAAATAATAGTACCAGGGGAAAACGATGAATTGTATTTTGCCTACCACTGCGACAAAAGCCATCATACTCTCAGGCCTTCGTTAACACTCACCGGGGAAAAACCCCTGAAAAAAGAAAGGATTGGAGTCCCCATTACCTTTTCACTTTCCTTGTCACTTACCTTGTGTTGCCGGGGTCAGTAGTAGCCTGCTACCGCACCCCTTTCTTGTCCATTCGTTTCTGGCCCGATCAATCCATCACTTACCTGTTCTTTGGAACTCGGATTCCCTAAGGTGTTGGTCTTCGACGATCGGCAAAAGGTCCCGGAGTTTACTTGCGGGAGTAGGAGTAGTGGCTGTCAGCTTCGGATACTGCGCCGCGACGACCATAGTTTCCAGGGTCTCGGGAAGACGCGGAGGAGGTTGAAGATGAGGAGAAGTCGTAGCGAGAAGACGAGCCAGACCCAGAGTACGACCCAGAGCCGGACGAGGAGCCATAGGACTTGCTGGATGATGAACCGGAGCCAGAGTTAGCACACAACCTTGAGGCGGCCGAGGCGTTATTCCACTCACTGAACGACGGGGTGGAGTCGTAGTACTTGCTAGATGACGAGCCAGAGCCAGACGACCCGTAGTACGAATCGGAAGGCATTGTCGGTGTGTGATAGGAAACTGGGTTTTGGTATGGGGGGTGAGGGTGTTGAGGGGTCTTCGCCTTTGAGGCTGAGAAGTTTAGGTTGAAAAAGGGAGCAGATGATCTTGGGATAGCCGATGGTTTTGATCAGCTGCCTTTCCCGCCTCAAAGGTGAAAAAGTTTGTTAGTTAGTTAGTATAGAGAGAATCTTTTCGAGGCGGGAGAACTTTGAGAGATTTATAGCTTTTGGGGTTCTATCCTACGCCAAGGGGGGAGTCTGGTAAACAAAGGGTTAATGCCTCGAAAGGAGGCAGTGGCAGACAACGACATGGAAAACTCGTAATATTCAATCATTCCGTTCAAAGCCCACGCTTTGTCCATCAATGACTCTTTGTTGGCTTTCTCGACAGTGTTCAAGGGATTCACTCGGATAACATGAGGCTTCAAACAAAAAGCGTTCTGCTATGCTTCACTTGTGCTTTGAAGGAATTCTTTTGTCCCACCACGAAAATCAGCATCTGTCCAGGTCTTAGCGAGGACAAACCTCGTGTCAGAGCAAAGCCTGCGGATGGACGCAAGTCTGTTTCCGAGAACGGCAGCCAGACTGAGTTTGAACATGCAGAAACATGGCACGTTGAAAGCTTCTGATTGTGGTAGAAAATATGTACGAGGCACGGACTGTGAAAGACGAAGTCTTTCAATTAACGCGTGTCATGTGTGTTGGTGACGCGCACACGTCTCTTTATGTCTTGGCTGCCTTTTTCGTGTTTAGGTGCGTCCCATTGGGGAACCTACATGCCGCCGAGCCATATCAAACAGCAGTCCTACCTTGCTCCTGTCAGTTTTTCTCTCGTCGAGTGTAGTATGTATTTGCCATGTCCAATATTGCCTGGTCGATCACCAGCACCAAGCGTAAGACCAAGTCCACATCTTCAGCGGCAAGGAAGCGACGACGACTACATGACACAGACGGCACGTCCAGCAGTCGACCCTCGAAGAGCCAACAGACTCTGACCCAAGCTCAATGGGTCACAACCTTTCCTCCAAGTCATGACGAAGGCGGTACGCATTACCTAGACGACGGACAAATACGAACCGCGCTACCAAGAAAGCATCAACGAAGCGTGCAGAAGCCTAATTCTACATTGACCCAGATGGATTTCTTCGATTTTCTCCCACGAGACTACACAAACGCTGACGACACTATGCTTGGCGTTGTGAAAAGAGAGGACGACGGCTGCGTTGTTCCCCAACTCGACGGAACATACGACAGCCCCAGAAAGCCTCGCAGGCGCAAAGCAAGCCCGAACAGAGTGAATCCGTCAATAAAGAACGCGCCTTCAAACGGAGCCAGGCCAGCAGATTACAAGCCTAGCGAGAGGAAGAGGAAGATTGGGTTCGCCGAAGAAGAGAACGCAGGGTCATCTGGGAGAAGGACTTCTAAACGTCTGGCAGCGAAGAATGAAGTCCTCTCCGACCCCGTGAACAACTTCGACTACTTTGCTGAAGCGTTGGCGTATCAGACAGGAGATATCAAATACAATACTTCAAATGAGACCTTTAACTACCCTTTGGAAATCAAGAACTCGACAGAAAGCGAGGGCGACGTTGCACTGGACCCAGTGTCTGGAAGTCGATGCTCTGTCCTGCCGCAAACACCAAAAAAGAAGACGACCGTTGTTCTCTCAAGTCAATCCCCTGAGAGCTTGTGTCCGAGCACGCACAGAGGCAAACGAAAGGCAAACGAAACCCCTTCTAGAAGTCACCGAGCGCCTTTGGCTGAGCGATCGGCCAACATTCCTGTGGAAGCCACTTCAACTGGGACAGCAGGGAAGGGACGATGGTCTCTAAGCCATCATTTGCCGAAGAGGAAGATAGTTGTCCTGAAGTTTCCGAAGCAGAACCGTTGTCGACGCCCCACACGTACTGACCATTCTCAAGGAAATCTGTGGTCAATTCCTTCATCCTCACCTGAATTGGTAAGAATGGCCGCCACGGCTGTACAACCCCACACAACTCTATGGACAGCTCCAGAGCATTTTGAAATTCCAGCCACAAGCCAAGGACAGGGGAGTGAACCAACCTCTGTGATCGCCGGGAGTCAGGACAATCTAAATCTGAGTTCCGCTTTTACCAGCAGAAGTAGTGATACAAGGGCGGAAGGTGTGGTGGATTCTGCACAACAAGGAAATCGAGGCGTCATTGTCCGAGACTTTGCTGTCGCTCCTGCTACGCCAGTCAAGTCCGCTCTTCCCGGTTGTGATTGCCACATAATATCACCGCCCTCCCTCGCTCTCGAGACACAAGACGCAAAAGAGCCTGTAAACAAATCCTTGCAGGGAAGTTGGGAGGATGCGGATTTCGGATCGCCGGTTGAAAATGACACGCAGTTCAATATCAGAATCCAGCACCGTATGTCATCCCCTACTCTACCAGGGCATTCGCCTGAGCAGTCAGAAGCTGGATTCAACGCTGTTCTGCCCTCGACTCGGTCGCCAGTCAGTGGCGAGTGTGCCGGTGGAGACAATGAAGGCCCATACTCCGAGCTCCCGGACGTTGAGACATTGCGCTGCCCAGAATCTCCCCTGCCGCTTCCCAGACTGGTAGAGATACCTAGCGCAGAGACAGAGGGCGAGGCGTTTGAAGTGGACAACGATGCAGACGGAGGACCCTTGCCGAAGCCCACCTTTATACATCCGTCGAGCATTCATAGGAAGATGGTACAGGTGCCACTGAACGACACCTTGCAAACCTCATCTCCACATTCCCTCTCGATGGCAAGACTAATCACGCAAAGATCCGTTCATCCTGCGTCAATGCCTCACCCTTCACAAATATCGACCCAAGAGGGCACCCAAGGGTTTCTCCTCCAATCGTCCTTCACACAACACCCTCGAGAAGCCAAGGTTGAGGGCCAATCCGACAAAATCACGATCAAGGACTCTAGTTCTTCCAGTATTCCACTCAGTCAAATCCCCCACCATGTCGGAGAGGACCAATCTCAATGGGATGACGATATCGGCCCAGCTCAAGAATTTGCTTCTGAGGATGATCTTGATCTTGATCCGCCTTCACTCCCACCTCAACCATGCCGACCCCAGCCGGCGCCTCTGCAACTCACCACCGAACAAATCACCGGCAGCAAAAGCAGATCAGAAACGGCGATACCTACAAAAGACAACCACACTCCCGAATATCAGCGCCCTCGGTCCTGCTCGCAACCTAACGACCTTCAACCCGACTCCGACTCCACTCCCGTTTGCATCTCTGAACACTCCCTCCCATCCTCGCCAGACCATCCGCCACCATTGGAGAGGGAATACTCACCTATTCACGGATTCAACAACGAGACCCAGTCAAATTTCACACAGAATGGACACGTCACGGCGGCGTATATCCATCGTCAGCGCGAAGCAGGCATATTCCCGAAATGGTTCGTTCCCACGCCATACCAGGTCCCCGGCTATACGAGAAGGAAATAGTATTGATTTCGTAATACCCGGATGAATGGTCCAGCTTCTATGTGTGAAGTGGTTTAGTTTCAGGCAGTGAAGGCACCCTATCAGGCTTGGTCACAGGATGGACTGGAGATTTGGATTGTTGCTTGCTTGACCGAATCCGATATTATCATGTCTTCGCGATTCGAGTATGACAGTTGAAAAAGAAGCGAGTTGCATTGCGTTGTATGGGCCGCAGGATATAAGTAGTAACCCAGCAACCTAATGGCCCCACTCTGTTGAATTATGGAATGGAATATCTTTAACCGATTTTCTTCTCTATCACGTTGTCCTATCTCCTGAAAAGCCTCAATGCTTCAATCTCGCCCCTGTCCTCCTCGTCTGCCTGTATGCCCTCAACTCCGTCGTCATCACTTGCCCTTTCCCTCTCATCTAAGGCCTCGAGCCTGCCCAACAGACTCCCAAAGAACTCGGCCCTGGCGGCTTCACTCCACGTGGTGCGATCCTCGGGCGCCATGAAATTTTGCAGCTTCTCGTGCACCGTGTACCGGACTTTGCGACCTTTGCTCGCCTTTCTGTCGACGGTTTTGTGTTTGCTGCCCGATATGTGCAGTTTGCTGGGCAGTACGGCGTTGTCACTAATGGCGGCATCGCTGGCGGAGCGAGAGGCAATCAGGTCGCGGAGAAGGGTTTGGTAGAATGGTCCGTCGTCGTAAGCCTGCGTCTCTGGCGAGTAGGATTGGGCGATGAGTTTGGAGGACTCGGTTGCGAGATAGGTGTCGAGCACGTCTGTGAGGCGCGAGCGTACGGGCGCTTGAGATGGCTTGAGTAGTTTGGATCGCGGGGCAGGATCTAGCACTGGCTGGGTTTTCGCGTGCCACTTGTCGATCACGCTGCGGCGGAGCGTGTAGGAGTATGTGTCGAGGGAGGTGTAATGTTCCCACATCTCTGAGAGAGGGGTTGTTCTTGTCGGGTTGAGCGGAAGTTTTCTTTTTAGAGACTTAATTTTGGTTTTGTCATCGGATGGGGTGTGTCCTTGGGCGGAAAGAATGGTGCAGCGTATGGAGTCGATAGTTGACCATAAAGCCAGCGCTGCATCTTCAGCTTGTCGCGCGGCGCTCTTCACCTCCTCTTCGTTGACGAAGGAGGGAGGCAACCCATTCGTAGTCGTAAGGCCCTTTTGCAACTTGATCCTGGCGTCGAGGAGACGATCAAACGTTCGCCGTTGTTGCTTGACCGCCTCACCCTTCTTCACATCGGCATTGGCCGCGGCTGACAATGCAGATGCTAGTGCCGCTGTCGATACGGACTCGAATGCAGCTTTCCTCAGTTCTTCACGCCCCGCATTTCGAGAGGGCTTTTCATCTGGTGAGGAAGACGATGAAGTGGCTGAGGACATCGAGGAGGCGTCGTCGTCGTCGTCGTCGTCGTCGTCGTCGTCGTCGCCGTCGTCGTCGTCGCCGCCACCGTCGTCTTCTCCATCACCCATATTGATAATATCAGACTCGCCGGAAGCCTGGTCTTCCGACAGACCTGACAAGTCATCCTCAATCTCATCAAGCAAGTCCTCTCCCTTCGCATCAACAACCTTTGGTATCTTGGCACTGCTGTTCCGCAGGCTTATATCGTTGGAGGGTTCTATGTGGTCCTCTCCCGGCTCTTCGTCGCTCTCTAACTCTTCATTTTGATCCATACCCGGGCTCGGCCCTTTGTCGTCCTCCGAAGCCTCTTCGGCCGCTTGGATATCCTCATCCCTGGCAGCAAACGGGTCTTCGTCTTCTTTCGAAGTCTCTTCAGCGCTAGCGATACCTTCATCCCTGGTAGAACGGTGATCTAAATCCTCTTCTTTGTCTGAGGGCGCAAAAATATCTTCATCGTCCTCTTCATCTTCGAGTGCTTTGCGACTCACGGCCACCCCTCCGTACTTTTCGTCCAGTAATGGCTGCTCTGGCTGCCGCAGTCTGCTCTCCCCCACTGTTTCGTAGTGCGCTCGGCTGGCATCATCATGCAGGTCTTCGTTTTCAGACACTTCATCGTCACTCGGGCGTAAGTACCTATCGTCTTCGGGGTCGAAATCTGCCAGCCCTTTAGTGAGTGGAATTGACTAGCAATAACCCCTCTATAGAATTAATGACCAACCTATCGCTTTCCTTCGCTCTGAGTCAGCGGCCTGCTCTTTCAGACTCTTCATTTTTGATTCCTTTCTGGAGGGTGACAAGATTCGGGGCGCTGGTTGCGTCGCAGGTTCTTTTTGCAATCGAAATAATTTCTTGGAGAATTCGGCGTAACTTTCCCCGCAGATCCCGTTGGTGCCGCTGGTGCCTCGACCCAGCGAGCCAGTAGGGGAACTAGAGCCCGGCAAACCCACCTCGCCACCTAATCACAGCCCGGACTTCGCCGGGAGAATATCGTGCTATATAAAATTTTTCCGAGAAAAATCTTCGAAATCTGGCTGAATAGTTCAGAGGTAGAATTCTTGCTTTGGGTTTCCATTGCTTAATTGTAAGAGGTCCTGGGGTGAGTCTATTCCTTTCTCAGGGTGTAATAAGGTTGCTAATACGACTTCAGTTCAATTCCCAGTTCAGCCCGTAATTTTTCCCATATTTTTGGACTTTTCTTTTTTCTCCCTTGAGAGTACTCGGCAAAATGGTCTCCAATTGCACAGCGATACGAATACAGCGTATATCTTTTTGATTCAAGTTGGACTCGAGAACTGTGCGATCACGTGGCAGGCATTCACTGTGTCATTTGATTGGCGGGAAGACAACATCAGGCAGCCACGTCGACCTCCAACACAATTCGATGCCCTCTTGACATCGGTATACGCTCCGTGTTCATGTCCTCCGTCTGATCAATGCACGCCTTGTGTATGTGATCCTCTTGAGCGGTCACATAGTCCAGGAAGGGATCTCCCCTTTACAATGAGCCACATGCGACACTTTCCCGTAGCCTCTAAACGCAATGCCGCGCAGGACGAGTCAGCGCGGGGGAAAAGCGACAAGGGCAACGCGACAGTCAACCCGTCAGCGAAGAAAGCCCGAAGATGATATTCCAGAAGTTTATCGCGACATGCTCGCCGAAGTCGCCGCCGAGCAACAAGCTTCTGCTTCTACCTCGCGAGCCCCGAAGCGCCGGAAGATAAGCGAGGAACCATCCACCAAGATCGAGCTCGATTTTGATCTATTTGGCTCCTCAATAGACGCCAAAGATGCCGATGACGCGGCGCCAACGCTACAACAGGTCGTCTTTGATGACTTCGAGGCCTCGGATGAATCCGATGCTGAGTTCGAAGACGTAGATCTCGAACCAGCCACGGGCGAAGTTGTTGAAAACGGACAACTCGAGCAGAACACCCTCGAACTCGACTTGTCCAGCACAAGTACGTCAAGGCGTGCCGTTCAACGACGCAAGCCTGTTGGCCTAGCAGAACGCAAGCTTCGTCTAGATGTGCACAAAGCACATGTCATTTTCTTGCTGGCTCACCTCGCCTGCCGTAATCGATGGTGCAACAGCGAGTCAGTACATTCCGTCTTGAAGCCTTTCGTATCTCGTAAGGTGATCTCATTGCTTCATGTCGACGAGTCTAAACCTCAATATCAAAGATCACACTCTTTCAACAAGGGCATTGAGGAAATCTGCGCCTTGTGGAGGGAGCAATGGAAAATTACTGCACGAGGGATGAGACGTGCTCATTGGAGAGAAGATGTCGACGCGGTCAAGGAGAGCGACGATGCTGAGGATTTGATCGACTTCGACGACTTCAAAGCCGCAGCGGTTTCTCGCTCTGGCTCGAGAGATCTGGGAGCTCAACTATTCTGCGCACTACTCCGCTCAGTTGCCGTAGATGCCCGGTTGGTATGCTCTCTTCAAGTATTACCGTTTTCTGGAGTTGCCAAGGGGCAAACTCCCGAAAAGCTCAAACCCCAGTATCTTTATGCGCCCGCTCAGAATTATGGTTCAGCCTCTCGAGACACGAAGACCACTACTGGGCCAGAACGAGCTCCGAACCCCAAGAAAAAAAGGATTGTCGAATCTCCCTTCCCAATATTTTGGGTCGAAGTATTTTCCCCTTCTGTGCAGACATGGATCCCGCTGGACCCTCTCGTGCGCAACACAATCAACAAACCGAAGACGGGCTTCGAACCTCCTGCGTCTGATCAACTAAACAGCATGACTTATGTGATTGCATTTGATGATGACGATTCGGCAAAAGATGTGACAAGGCGCTACACTCAATGGTACAACGCAAAGACACGTACGCAACGGGTGGAAAGTACCAAGGGCGGCGAGAAATGGTGGGAGGTGACAATGGACCATTTTCGGAAACCCTTCAGCGAGATTAGAGACGAGATAGAGGACGCGAGCCTCCTCAAGCGCGCCGAGAGCGAACCCATGCCCAAAAACATTCAAGATTTTAAGGGACATCCTATATATGTTCTGGAGCGGCATTTGCGCATGAATGAGGTCATTCATCCTCGACATGAGGTGGGCAAAGTGAGTTCTGGAGCCATGAAAAGTGCGAAGCTTGAGGGTGTGTTCCGCAAACGAGATGTCCATGTATGTCGCACTGCGGAGGCGTGGTACCGGAGGGGTCGTGATGTAAATGAAGGAGAGCAACCCCTGAAGCGAGTGGTTCTTAAGCGACAGCGGAATCAGAACGCTCCAGCTGCCGAGGACCTCGACAACGAAGAGGAGGCTCATGAAGGGGTGGCTCTTTATGCGGAGTATCAGACCAGTCTGTACGAACCGCCACCTGTCGTCGATGACAAGATCCCCCGAAATGCGTATGGAAACCTCGATGTCTACGTCCCGTCGATGATACCAGCTGGTGCAGTCCACATTCGACATCCGCTCGCATCTGCAGCCGCTCGCGTCCTCAGCATTGATTACGCAGATGCTGTAACAGGATTTCAGTTCAGAGGCCGCCAGGGCACGGCCATTATTGATGGTGTGGTCGTAAGCATGCATATGACGAATGCTATGATCAATGTCATTGAAGGTCTCGAAGCTCAGGCGGCGGAAGAGGTGCTCGAAGCGAGAACCAGAGTCATCCTGGCGACATGGAAAAGATGGCTTACTGCTTTGCGCGTGCGCGAGCATGTACATCGGCATTACGGCCATCAGACAAATGGCGCCAAGGCTAAAGATGCCAATGCAGAACGAGACACAGCCTACCAACAAGAGGAAGATGGTGGGGGATTCATGCTTGACCAGGCAGATCTCGATCAAAGTGAGAACGAAGCTGCCGGCACTGTCCCTTCGGCATCGCCAAACCCGAAACCTCTGAACCAGCTTCTTCCTGCGGAAGTTGTGCACCAAGATGTGATTGTCGTAAGGTCTCCGAATAAACTCGCACAGCCGCCCTCCAATCTATTGCTCCCTCAGGACCAAGTCGCAGTGGCACCAACAAATGAGGTCAAAAGTGGATGTTTCCTCCTTGAAGCGGATAACGCTGGCGGAGGCTTCATTGCCCAAGAAGAGATGGACCCGGACTCTTCCACAAGCCGCAAGCACGAACACGCCGCGGTCATGCATGGCATGCTCGCGAACGATGAAGGTGGTGGTGGTTTCATTCCTGAAGAAGACAATGGAGGCGGCTTCCTGCCCGATGATGAAAACGAAGACAACGAACCATCCCATCCGCAGGCAAGTACGGCCGGCTTCATCAAGAAGGAAGATGTCACCCTTCCCGAGACAGAGCACGCGTCACTCGAGCAGAGACTGAAGAATGCTTCTGCCGCTGCGGAAAATGCGACCGCCGCCGGCGGAGATAGCACTGCCAAGCCCCCGAACGGAATAACAGGAGGGGAGACAAGAGAGGAGGACCCAGCACCCTCAACACATATTCCTGATGCGGACAATCTAGCGTCGAGTGATCAGCCACTACCGGCGAACGCCACGGTCGAGCCGCAGCAGCCGACTTTTGGGAATGGGGTTTCCACAGCTGGTCAAGCCGGCGAAGGAGAAAAAGAAGACGAAGTAAAAAATGGTCCTCCAGGGCTCCAGAGTCCCGGTTCTGGTTCTGGTTCTGGTTCTGGTTCTGGTTCAGTTTCTGTAGCGGGCTCTCTCCTCTCACACGATCCTGAAGACGACGACGCCGAGCCCGAGTGGTTACTGGCCAGCCTGGGAGAGATTGACTAGAGAGGGAGGGCGAGCTTTCTTGGCGAGAACTAGGTCCTGTACTTATAATATATTGATTGCTGTGACCCAACATGACTTTCTATCCGATAAGTGAGATGCCAGCCAAAAGTCACATCCACGGAAAACAGTGGTTGTGGGCGACACACACCAGAATACCACATAGTTAATATAGTACAATACAGTTCAGAGGTACACTAAGCATCAAGCATGATATATCAGAAACTGGATACCCCAGGTCCAACCTCATTGTCCTATAATCCGTGCTCTACTCTAAAGGATTGACTGCACGCCATGGTGGTTGGGTGTTGCAGTGTGTCCTGGACCATATTCGATTGATCTGCATTGGATTCTACTACATTGTACTGTGTTGCATTGCATTGTGAATTGGCTATCCTAGACTACGTAGACTAACTAACAGAACGCAAGAGGGTGGGTATCTCAACATTTGAACAACAATCCTGCATTTTCTGACTGACTTGAGAGAGGAGACAGGTGCTAGAAGGAAGAGGGAAAAGAACGATCAACAAAAAAAAAAAAGGAATTCTGGCTCGGCTTCGTGGTGTACGGCTGCTCACTCGCCAGCTGGCACACTGGAAAAGAAAAAGAAATAAGGGTCATGGATATGCACAAAGCAAACAGAGAGCGTCTGAGTTACTCAACAAGGGGAAAACCAACAACAACATTAGAGAAACGACATTCCGACAAGACCCCGTATTACTGTCATCCAACAAGCCGTAACTCTCCTCCAAAGTCCAGTGGTCTTGCCTCGTGAAAGATAACCAACTGGGCGCTCCCCCCGCCCCGGGGGGAGGGGGGGGGGCCGCTGTCTTCTCACATCTGGACTCCACCCGGTGAAGACCACTAATCTAAATCCTCGTCGTCCTTTTGAACGTCCGCCGTCGGAGTCTGAGTCTCATCTTCGACGCGACTCAAAATCCCCGCCATCTTCTGATGCTCTTCGAGGAAATCTTCGCTCAGATCGTCCAACTGCCGGATCTGCTCTTGGATGCCGGCCAACTGACCTGCAACATTCAGACTTTTCCCATTCGTCGCTGGGCCAGGTGCCGTTTCGTCAGCTGTGGCGCCTGTTGCTTCAGACGCTGCTTCTCCAGGGCTGGCCCACCGACTAGATTCCAGACCTTGTTTTGGGGATCTAGGAGAAGTGGCATTCACAGGTTTCTCAGGAGGCTTCGGGCTTGAAAGCGTAGTCGCCTCAGTCTTGAATCGTTCCGCCTCTTTGCTAGCACTCTCGGCGAGGTTGCGTTGAGTTTCGATTTCGAGCATTGCTCCTTCCAGGTCGGCTTCAAGTGACGCGATAGTCTTCTTTGCTTCGTCGAGAGTCGCCTTGATGCCGTCGACGCGCTCTGAATCAGGAGCCCTCTCCGCCGCCAATTTGGCATCATTCAACTCCGTGAAGACCTTTTCGAGTTGGGCATCATATTCTGCCCTGACCTCGCGGATCGCATGGTCGTGCTTCTCCTGCAGTGCAACAAGCTCCTTTTGGGCATCCGTGTACTTCTTTTTCAATTCTTCGAGCTGTGAGGGATCAGGTCGCTGCGCAGCAGCTTCCTTCGCAGCAATCAGCTCTTGCTTCATCGCCGCGAGAGCAGATTCTCGTTCCTCGTTTGCTAGTACCATTGCTTCGTGGTGCTTTTTCTCAACCTCTCTGGCATGTTCTTGTGCTTCAGCAAGTTGAGTTCGAAGTTCCTCCAGCTGTGCGGTTGAAGATTGACCGGACTCAGCGGCATTGCGCGCCCCCTGCAGCTCCGCTTGAAGTTGCGTGAGTGCGGCTTCGTGTTCCGATTTGACTTTTTGCCAGGTTTGTTCATGTTGCTTCTCAGTTTCTGCGAGGCGGGCACTAGCGGCCGCATTTTGCTCCTCTAGTTGGTCAACTTGGGTCTTCCACTGGCTCTCCAGGGTCTTCATGATCTCATCCAATTGGCTGTCATGTTCTTCCTTCATCTTTTTCTTTAGTTCTTCGAATTGAGATTCGTTTGCGGCTTGGCTGGACTCGACGGATTTGGCATGCTCTTCGCGCACTTTCTCAATAGCTTGCTCGTGTTGTTCCTTCAGCGTGTTCTCGAGCTCGGCAAGCGCCTTTTCATGTTCAGCGCGTAACGCCTCCATGTCCTCGTGAACCCTAGCCTCCAAAACCTTCTTTGCATCCAAGAGTTGATCGTGTTCCATCTGAAGCTCACTCATTCGTGCAAGTTTAATCACGGAAGTCGACATGTCTGCTTTTAGTTTCTCGAGAGCTTCATTGAGTTCCTCCTCCTTTTCTTTGGCCTCTTTTTCTGTGTTTTCAAGAATAGATTTCACCATCTGTGTCTGGAATCTGTTACCCTCGAGCTCCTCTTGAAGAGATTTTGTTTGTGACTCCAGCTGGCGTTTCTCATCTGCGAGGCTCGATCGTAATTCGTCAAGCGCCTCCTCATGAAAAGACTTGGCCTTGCTCTCTCTGTCCTGAAGTTGTCGTGCATGCTCCGCTTTTAGAGAAGTGATTGTCTCGGCATGACGCGAGGAGATCTGCTCTTCCAAGTGACTCAGTTGTTTTGCATGCTCATCTTTGATGGTTTGCACAGACTCTTGAGCTGATTTGAGCTGACCCTTTAAATCCATGACCATAGTGGCGTGGGATTCCTTCAACGCGTTCAGCGCAATTTCATGTTCTGTAGCTCGCTTTTGCCCAACCTCTTCTAGCTGCTTCAAATGGGTGGATCTTGCATTTGCCAGCTCGGCCTCCGCGGCATTCAGCTGTTGCTCAAGGTTTCGCATTCTTTCAATATGAATCTTCTCGGCCTCTTCAACGGCCCTCTGTTGTGACTCCGATGCCTCGGACTTCATGCGATCGAGTTGTTGCACATGTCCGGTTTCAATAGACTCCAAATCCTTGAGCGAGGCGTTCATCTGGTCCTCCAACTGCTTGATCTGGGAGGAATGTGTTTGCTTGAGGGATGAAACTTCCTTGTGGGAGTCGTGGAGCTTTTGTTCGAGCTGCTGGATCTGCTCGGCATGAGCAGATTTCAGCGTCGCAACTTCTTCCTCGTGTTTCGCTTGCGATCCGGACAGAAGGCTCTCGAGCTCCTTTTGATGAGATTTCAATGCGGCAAGTTCTTCTCGAGCAGACTCGCTCTGGGCCTCGTGATCTTTCAAAATTTGCTCATGGCTTGCGGTAGCCTGGTCGAGAGCGGTCTTGGCTGTATCTACTTGACTTTGCATCGCTGCGAGAGCTCCCTCGTGCCCCGCTCTCTTTGCCTCTGCTTCATCTTTGGTCTTTTGTAACTGAGCTTCGAGATCTTGGATTCTACTTGAATGCGAAGCCTTGTAACTTTCAAGCTCGGCGTTTGCGGCGCTCAGGTCTGCTTCGGATTTCTTCAACACTTTTTGCAATTCGCTTTCTTGCGAATGCTGTGCCTTCTTCAGTTCTTCTTGCGCGTCACTTAATTGCCGCTTGATAGCTTCTAGTTCTTCCGTATGTGCTTCCTGGACGGCCGCGAGGGATGAAGCGGCGGCGGCGTTCGCATCAACCTTTTCTTGTTGTAGATCTTTGATCTGGTTCTCGAGCTCTCTGACTAGTGCGACCCGGGCATTGCTTTCCTCATCCCTTGCTTGTTGGAATTCCAGAACTTGATTTTTCAACGATACAATGACTTCACTTTGGCGAGACGTTTCCGCATTAATTTTAGCCAGTTCTTCCTGTTGCTGGGCGATTTCTTTCTGTTTGTTCACAACCTCTGTAGCCAATTCATCAAGCTTGCTTTGGCTTTCGGCAAGCTGTGATTGGTAAGTAGCTTCGAGAGTTGCATTCTTGGTGCGGAGCTCCTCTTGGAGCTCCGCGTTACTGTCCCTCGTCGAAGCCTGTTCAATAGCGGCATTGCGAAGTTCTTCCAGTTCTAACTTGGACCGCTCAATCTCCTCCTGCGCAAGGGCGAGTTCAAGAGAGAGCTGGTCTTTTTTGGAATCGTGCCCTCGCACCTCTTCTTGATGTGCACTCTCCATTTCCGAAAGCTTGGTCTCGTGGAGTGAGGTAAGTTGGTCAATTTTCGCGGCATGCTCATTTCTCATGGCCTCCGTAGCTTCCTGCACGCGTAGGCTCTCTTCCTCCGCGCTCTTGCTGAACTGTTCGAGTTTCGCCTTCAAGTCTATCAACTCGGCTTGTAAGGCGGCGACTTGGGCCTGGCTTTGAAGGGTTTCGTCCTGCGGCTCCGTTGCAGCCGCAGCCTCAATGTTTTCCACTGCTTCAACCGCGGACTCAGGAGCTGTTTCTTCAGCCACCGATTGCAGCTCCTCTAATTCCGCGGCACTTGGTACTCGACCGTGAGTACGTTCGAATTCCCTGACCTTGGCAAGATCCGACTTGAGTTTTGCGATTTTACTTGCGGCATCTTGATTCATGGACTGTTGTTCTTGTTCATCGGCACCATCTGCGGTCATAGCTGCTTGCAACATGCTATTGACAAGCTCAAACTCTCTTATCCGCTGCTCAATCAAGAGCGATCTCGTGGATTTCCTCGATTCCAGCGCGGGACGGGCATTCCCGGCAGCCTTCTCTTCTGCGGCTGATGATATATTTTCCTTGTTATCTTCGGGCTCTTCAATACCGGTCTTGACGGCAGGGGAAGCAGGGATTGTGCTCAGGCGCTTCTTCTCAGCAAGCGGTCCGGTAGCAACACTTCTTGAGGAGGAAGCGAGGGCCTTCGATCGCGTAGCAGAACTGGTCGAGGCCAAGGTACGGGCGGCGCTCGGGGTGGCAGCTACCTTCCTCGCGCCAATTGGACTGCTGGTGGGTTGTTGACTTGATGTCCCTGCGGCTTGCATGGATGTTCGTCGAGCAGGGGTGGCCGCAACGGACTTGGAGGCAGAGGCTCGATCAGACGTCGTGGAGGGTGCCAGAGACATCCTCTTTGGTCTTGCAGATATGCCATCTTTGCTCTTCTCGTCGCCAGAAGGCTTCTCGTCCACCGACACCGACGTGTCTGATTCTCTTTTCTTATGGGTTGCAATTGAGGAAGTCGAGGCTGTGGCAGAGGGTTTGCGAACGGTTGTGCTTGCAGCAGTCGGTCTGGCTGGCGGCTTGCTCAAAGAACTTCCGGCGGTATGCCTAGCAGCCGACGAGGTAGCAGTAGAGGTAGAGGTCGGTCTAGTCGTAGAACTTGTCGACAGTCTGGAGGTCGGAGCCTTGGTCACTGGCCGGGACGGAGGATGGGTTGCCTTCGCCTTGAGAGTCACAGTTTCATCCTTTTTGTCCATGGCTGCAGGATGAGGCAGAACTCCGACAAGATCAGGCGGCAAACAGCAGGGAGATGGAGCAGAAGCGGAAATCCGTCAGAGAGGAGAGAAGGCAGCAAGGGCAATGCTCAATCAGCCTGATCTCAGACCTGCTGGTCGCAGTCGCCGCGGCACCAGACGCGTTCCTATTTTTTGGCTGCGTGCAAAAGTCGTGATTCCAGGACGAGACAAGACGAGCCCCCGAAAGAAGCGAGCAAGGCGAAGAAGCGACGAAGCGAGCCCCCACCAGTGACCACCAGCAACAGCATCACGAGGCTAACTTCTCTATCACAGACAAGTTTTTCGCCGTTCCTCTTGCACGAGTCCCTTCCCCGAGATTAGTGGTTTCAGCCTGCTCCTGCCCCTCCTCTTCGCTTTGAGGCACCTGCGCCGCCGTCTCACCTCGCCAGCGACCGGTATGACCAAGGCTGCTTTGGAGGTGACTTTAGCCATGCTACTCTACTCGATTACAATACGAGGACATCCGGGAACTGAAGCTCCCGTTCCGGGGTGCCATTGAATTGGCTCATCATTCAGTACCGACAACATACAGACCGAGTAAGGGGTACCTTTATTCCAAGCCAAACCAAAAGTAATCCTACAGCTCGTGTGTTGTACATTCAATCCGGAACACTCCTCAACCAATCCCAGGACTCGTCCAACTCCCCTTCCAGCCGCCTCGCCATCGTCTGCTTCACCCATCTAGCCTTTGCCATGATCTGGTCCATGTCGTATCTCTGCAGTACTCCTCGAGGCCCGCCGTATTCGTCAATGATATCCTCCCACCTCGACTCACCTGTGAATTCTTGCAGAGCATTGACCAACATAATCAATTCGCTTTGATCCCATTGCGTCTCGGCCGGAGGAGGAATGTCTTCAGTGGGTTCTCGTCTTGTTCTTGGTCTGGTGCGCACGGCCGAGCCACCGGCATGGCCAGTTTCTTCGTCGTGGTGAGACTCTCGCACAGCCTGTTCGTCGCCCACGGGAATGTTGTCAATATCAACCGAGTTGGGTTTTGACCTGGAAACCGACCGGCCGGGGATCACTGCATCGTCCTGATAATCTGGACCGTGATATTGTCGATGTTTTGCTCGAACCGCCTCTCTTCTCCGCTCGTATTCCGCTAGTTGTCTCTCCAAGTTCTGCTTCTGTCGGAGTTCAAGCTCGTCGACGAATCTCTCTCGTTCATCCTCGTCGATCGCACGGCAATACTTCTCCACGATGGTTTCAACGTTGCGCGTGATGTCCGACTTCGTCTTACTCTTGACTGCATTCCCTAGCTCAGGTCTCGGCTTCCAATCCCGGGCGCTTTTCACTAGCATGGCTGTTATCTTTAGGAGCTGGCAGATTTCTCTCAGAGCCGTCATGCTGAGCCTATCGTTCTGAAAACACGCCTTCAGTGCCCGTTTGGCTAGTTCTAGCGAACTAGGAATCAAGTGCTCATATAAATCACGAACCATCCTTTTCCGCTCGAGGTCGAAGCGCATATCGGGTCTGTAATGGTAGTCACAGATATGTTTGCAACGTCGCTTCAACAGGCCCAGAGTCCCCCGTTCTTCGCGATTCAGTCCTCCAGGATACCAAGTATTTTCACGATAGAGCTTTTTATAAATTTGCGCCATCTTTTTGAATTCACGCGCACAGGCTTTGCCCTTGATCGACTCTGGTCCCGAGGAAGCGCGGCTCTCGGCAATTTCGGCGGCAGCGACAAGGGAGTCTGTCCAAGCATCTTTGCAATTATGAACTTGCACGGCTACCTCGATACCAGACAACGCATCTTTGATCATCTGTTTTCGTTTGACTCCTGCTTCCGCCGCAGTCTGCTCTGCGGCATTCCGTTCAGCCTGAGTCCGCGGCCCCTGAGTATGTTTCTCTGCACGTTCAGTATGTTCTTCATTTGCTGCGTTGTCTTCTGCCTCCCCTTGGCTTTCTTCGACTACATCGTCGTCGAGATAAGCTTCGGATGTCTCCTCGGCCGGTATTTGCCTTGCAGCTTCAGCAAGTGGGTTAGAAGATTTTGCGAGAGGGTACAGGTTTCGCTCGATCTCGCCGCCAGCTTCTCTCGTTGGTTTGGCAGGGAGTCGTAATTTAGAGGACGACTGCTTTGAAGATTTGGTCGGAACTTCTTCAATAAAAGGTCGGCCAAGTTCTGGTGAGTTCCGCCCCAGGCTTTCTCTCTGGAAAGCTTTGAAGATATCCTCACTGTCGAACGCCTCTCTACCCCTAGTTGCACCTCTTGCTTTTGGCTTGTTTGTAAGGCGGGCACCTTTGTGAAGAGATCGACCAATCTTCTCGATCCGATTCCTCACTGGTCGCTTTCTAGGCGAATCGTCCAAGTTTACCAGCGCATTTGTCTTAGTCTCTAGTATACCCTTGCCCTTGAATGGCGACGCTATCTCTTCTGGCCGTTTGTTGAGCCGTCTAAGCTTCTTGACTGGTTTCAAAGACACTTTCGTCACAGCCTCGGGTCCCCGGTCATTAGGGGTCTCGAGTAGGTCGCATCTGTTGACGGGGTTGGGTGCTGAAAGCGACTTTCGGGCTTGAAGCCTCCGGGACTGGCGTCGGGAGGGACTTGCAGTTGTTGCGATGGCCGCGTCGGAGACAGGTGCAGGAGGCTCGTCAAGTTGAATCCGCTTGTTCCATGGACCTATCGCATGGGGCCCACCACGAGATTCTCTCTTCCTTTTTCTAGGAGGACTTCGTGTCGAATTGGCAGCCTCCTCGTTCAGGATGGCTGTTACGTCTTCCGCTTCCCACTCTGCAGCATCGTGGGCAGAGGATGTACGAGGGTTGCGAGGCATTTACGGCCGACTCAGGAGCGGGGAAACACAGTCTGGGCTGTAAGTCGCACAAATATGGGGTTCGAGGCATTTGCGTGAGTATTGAACTCAGAGCTTTAATGTGTAACTTGACGCGTCCCAAGGAACATTGGTTGCGCAGGCGACCGAGCGACGTTGCGACAAGGCTACTAGGCTGAGCTTACATAAGGCAAAGTGTGATTAACAATACAGCCTTGCCAGCCAGCCAAGCACCAGCGAGACTGTCATCAGATATACATCAACTTGTTCCACCATCTATTTATGTGCATTGTGCCAAAAGACTCTGTTCTCTCGTGTGACTCCTCACAGATTGGGTTCCCATTTCTCCTCTAGTATCACTTCCAAATCGGTCGTCGGGATCCAAGGCATTCAAAGAGAGGCGCCATGGCGACCTTCCCAACTCTTCCAAAGATTGCCAATCTAAAGGAGCATCGCTTCGAAAAGCCGGTGAAGAAGATCTTCGATGGTCCAGATGTTTCCTTCTTCTTGTTGTCGCTCGCATATCGAGACATCATGACATTCATGTTGCAACTGAATAGGTCGGTTTTGCCACGCAAAAGCCAGACAGGCGGAACGAGCATAATATCCGCCTGGCGGTTAGACTCAGAGGAGGCAGTGTCGTCAGACGCGATCTCTCGACTACGCGGTCTGTTGACCAAGCTGATAGAGCTCGTCGACGCTGTTCCTCCTGATACCGGTCCCAGGCGATTTGGCAACGTCAGTTTCCGCAAGTGGTACAAGATCGTCGACGAGCAGGTTGGCGACTTACTAACCGAATACCTCCCAAAAGAATTAGGACTGGCGCATGAAGAGCTTGGTGCATATCTACTCGGGAGCTTCGGCAGCGCTCAACGGCTGGACTATGGGACGGGCCACGAACTCAGCTTCCTTGCCTTCCTGGCTTGCCTTTGGAAACTGAGTTTCTTCCCCCAGTCCGAACCGTGGGTGGAAGAGCGAGGAATTGTTCTGGGTGTCTTCGAGCTGTACCTCATCCTCATCAGAAAACTCATCAAGACATACACTTTGGAACCGGCTGGATCTCATGGTGTCTGGGGACTAGATGACAATTCATTCCTCCCTTACGTTTTCGGCTCCGCCCAACTGTGTCCGCCGATCGCTGAAACCGACGACACACCTACTGAAGGATCCCTCCCCGACGCGCCCGAGGCATCTGAAGTGACACGAGTCAACGTGGTCGAAAAGGAGAAGAGTTCAAACATGTACTTCTCGGCCATCGCCTTCATCTACGACGTTAAAAGGGGACCGTTCTGGGAACACAGCCCTATGCTCTTCGACATATCCGGCATCAAAGACGGATGGGGCAAGATCAACAAGGGTATGATCAAGATGTACAACGCAGAGGTCCTCTCCAAGTTCCCCGTCATCCAGCATTTCCCGTTTGGGTCCCTGTTCAAATGGGAGAAGGATCCCGATGCTAAACCTCCACCGACTTCCACGCACACTGCGAGTCAGCCCCTCCGAAACCCCATTGATACTCTTGCCCCGGGCGCAATGAGACCGGGCGGTCCGCCGATGGGTGCAATGGCTGCCCCCTGGGCTGCTAAGCCGTCGGCAGCGCCAACAGGGTTTGTCAACGGGGTCACGCAGGCGCCTTGGGCAAGTCGAGCACCAGCGCCGCCCCCTCCTCGAGGCGCCTTTGCTGCACCCTTGAGACGTCCCATGCAAGCTCTGAAGGAAACGGAGACGAAGTCGACCCAGAAATCCCCAGAAGGACAGAAATAAGCGTTGTGCGGGCATTAACGAACACAGCTTTCAAAAACTGTATCATTATACACATGAACCAGCCTTAGCCCTAGACGTCTATCAAGTCCGAGGCCACGAGGCGAGGGTATCACGATGAATCTGAATCATAGCCCACCACCAACGCCGTGCTGTTTTCCAATTTTGTCCTTTCCTCCTTCCTCTGCTCCGTCTCCCCTTGGTCCTGCTTCTTCCGCTTGACTCTAGGCTGCCAGATATCTTCCTCTCTTAGGAAGGGATCCGAGGCAACCCTCGTATTGCTTTGTAACGTGCTCTGTAGAATCTCCCTCTTATTAGCCGGTTTTGCCGCGGTGCTGGACTTCGAGTGCGAGGGCGAAGACGACGGGGCCAAATGTGTATCATCGAGGTCAGTGCGAAACATGGGCTTCCTCAAGCTCGTCGAAGACCCTTCGTTCGGCTCTCTGAACTCAGCAAACTTGGCCCTCTCGCCGTCCTCGGCATTCCCAGGCAAAATGTCCAATCCCAACCCGAATTTCTCCTTCAACGCCTCCCCGGTCTTCTCATCCACCTGTCTCTTCCGCCTACCGACGCGAAACTCGGCACGGAGCCTTTTACTCTGCTCGTAGGGATCCGCCCAATCGCGCTCGCTGACTCGCAATAACCCCTCGAGCCTGTCCTTCTGGGAATCGAAAAGGGTCTTGTCCCGAACTTTCTTCTCCAGCGCGCCGAACCCGCCATCCCTCTCCAGCCGCTCTTTATCCTCCTCGGTCGCGCCGATGCGGATCTCTCCATCCAGGACCTTATCGACGCCCGTATCTCTCCTCCTCCCGCCCTCGATGACAACGTACTCGGCATTTTTGGGATCGGTCCTGACCTCCAACCAGCCGCCGCACGCGGCGTGTTTGAACCGGAAACTCCAGATGGGCGTGGAGAAGTAATTGCCCACCCTCTTCTTCTCGGCGTTAAACCGCACGCCCTGTCCAATAATCTGCTCGGGCCGGCAGTGCGTGCACCAAATGGCGAACGGGCACTCGAAGCGGACGATCAAGACACCTTCGGTCTTGAGTTTACGGGCGCGTGAGCCTAGCGCATGGCCTTTCCCGGAGGCGGTGTTGAATGAGACGACGCCCTCGAGATCCGGAGGGACATAGCGTCCCATGTTGAAGCCTTGCATTTTGCCCAGCTGCGTTGTAGACTCAGGACGTTTCACCAAGGGGAGACGAGTGCGTGACTAATCAGTCTGGCTCTTGTGATATTGCAATGGAGCCTCCAGTTTCTAGACGAGGACCCATCTCAGGAGCCGCTCGAACGGACAAGGGAGATACAAGCCAGAGTTGCAAGGAAGAGAGGAAATTGGGGCGCGGTTGCCAGCAGAATGCGGCTGGTTCAGAACTCTGGAGCGCAGTCCGCAAGGAATTACGATGATCCGCTTCCGGCAGCCTTGTTCGCTGACCAGGCTGACCTATTCCCGCTCGTCCCTCAATGGTGGTGGTACTGGAGCGGCTGCAAGGCCCGACCCCTGCGTATATTCTACTTTGGCACTTCAGAAGGTGCAACAAGAGAGAATGATCACACTGAAGTCATTCACGCAAAGTTGACTATCAAAGCTCAACATTGAAATGCCACACCATCCCGCTTCGCAACACTCGACCCTCCACCAGCGAAACCTGTGCCTTCACAGCTAATTTCCACCAGCCTGCCTACTTTGTGAATGCTGTCTTTTCTCCCTTTATGCTTTTGGTTCTTGTCTTTGTTCTCCTTGTCGCCACTGTCTCCAGCTCCGTGCGAGTCACCACTCAGGTCCGCTTCGCAGACATAGCAATAGATGCTCGCCTTGGTCCCTCTCTCCTCTTTCGACGACACACTATTTGAATTCGTACCCCCAAGGAACAAGTCAGCACAGGCACCGCATATAACATGCCCGCACTCTTCTGCCGTCCCCAGCACCGGTCTCGATGTGTTGGTCAGGGCTTTCTTACAGCTCGGACATATCCTTGTTGGCTCGTCCGCCTTCGCACCCGCACCTTTTTCAGGCTCGGTTTCTGCAAAGTCGACCGTGATGAGCGACTTCAGCGAATAGTTATGTTTATCCCCTGGCGTAGAGGCGGGACATAGCGGATGAAGCTTTTGCTGCTTAGGTTTGGAAGAGGTAGTTGTGGATGCCGAGAGGCTGTCGGAGCCTGGGATCCAGAAGCTTGCTTCCGAAGACTTTGGCTTCTTGTTCTTTTCATTGTCTTCATCACCATGACTCTGCGACTCAGATCGATGGGAATGCAACTCTTCAGCTTCCCTCTTCCTCTTTCTTCCCATCTCCTCAGAGCCAACGTCTGCAAAACCCATTGCTGTCCTCTCGAACCTTTCCAGCTCCTTCCTTCTCCTCTCCTCCTCGTCTCTCGCTTTTTGCTCGCGCTCCTCCCTCTCCCTCATCTCGGCTTCCCTCTCGAGCCGTTTAATCTCTTTTCTCTGTGCCATGAGATCGTTCAACGCGCATTCTCTGCAGAACAGATGGACTTTTCGGTTGCCACTGTTTCCATCACCACAAGCAACAGGCGACCTCGCGTAGCCAAGACACAGGCGACAATACCCAAAAGGAAGGAATGAGTCGCGGGTAAGTCGGGTTGATTGACTGCCCCAACTTGACCGGAGGAGCGAGCGTTCATGAGACGTGAAAAAGGCTAGTGCCGTGTTGCGTTTCGAATGGGACATTGTGGACCTGTGGCGTTGCGCCACAGAATTCTCGAGCAGTATCAAGAGTTCGAGGACGAAAACAGATTGGTAGACTTTGAGAATTGAAACTGTTTTTCGATCCTAGGAGGAGACTTCTTAACCGGTAGATCTCCTTGAATGGTAGCACAAGAATAGCTCAAGGCAGACTGGCGGCGTTTCTAACAGTGGGAGAACAGGAAGCCACCCAATCGCCATTCACATGCAAAGTTCGAAGTCGAGGTAGACGAGCTCATCCAACAGCATTCGATGTTCGACGGGAGAGTGCCGTACTTTTGAACTCAACCCTCTTCAATTATTGACAGAGAGGACGCTCATGCCATCAAAAGCCGGCGATAGTTGAGATAGGTTCAGTATCTATTTTTAAGAGACGAAAACTTCAAGGAGGAGCTGGAGTTTGGCTTGGACCTAGGATGTCCGTTTGTTAGATTAAGCACAAATACTCTATATGCGTTTTGCAGTGAAAGGTTGTTTGGTCGAAGGATGGAAATCAACGACGATAGCGCCGGATGACTTTAGTGTGTCGGAACGGATCAACGAGGGACCGGATGCCGCACTACTTACAGCGAGATTTATCTGGCCTTTTGACTAGGCCTTGCGTCGCCAGCCTTGCGAGTTTCTACCCTGATGATGCTGGAAGGCCATGTATAGAAGATGAAAAGATCGCCGCTTTCGACTGAAGTTACCCCTGTGCATTGGCTCCCTTTGTCCGTCCTTTTTATTCAGAAGCAATCAGCAGGACAACTGCCGTGCTAATCATCCACTTTGGCAAGGTAATGAGGGGGAACAAACCTCTCAGGCACGGTGCGCGGATGCAGAACGCCATTCTGCAAAGCATTCCAGGCTCAACCACGTTTCAACTATGGATATCAGATCACTTGCGCTGTCATTCCATCCATATCATTCGTATTAGCGTATTATCGCAGGGACGGAGATGCCGCTCCACTCATCCACATTCGGCACGTTCTTCTCCCAAAATGACAGTGACGCAGGCAGCGCAGGGACGACCATGACTCTTCAACCTGCCTCATCTCTCTTATGACGCCTCAGGCATGAGCATTCCATGAACAGCTGGACGACAAAGTATGCTGGGATCCAGAATGTAACTCCCACCACCACCAATAATATCTGAGCCCACAGGGGCCAGTCTAGGTAATCAGCAGCTGATCGACGTAGAATGTCGTGACGAGGACCGTAGGCAGATGCAAGGACAGGAGCCATTGCAGTAATTATTCTGGTGTCGGTTTGATTCGTGACTGGCGCTCGCAAGAGGCGTGCCGTTATACGCTCACAACACCTGAAGAAAACCATCAGATCGGGATTTCACATCGTAGTGAACAAAAGCTTACCTGACATCTGCAGCTGGCCCTGATTACTGGATGGTGTCTGACGGATGGACCAGACAGTGTTCCGGTCAATGTTGCTTCGAGTGGCAGAGGGGGAAGTGGTTCTCTGTCCATAAAACTCATCATTTTCTGCCGTGTAAGACGACGATATCCCTGGGATAGATGTAACATGACCACAAGGAAGCCATCATTTTTGTTTGAGCAACAGAAGTTCTCGCAGGGCCAAGCCGTCATTCTTTAGCGAAGACGTCTGAGCGTTGTGTCTGCAAACAAAATCCAGACAAAGGGCCCTTCCCACACAATGAGTCCCAGCACAGTCACTACAGCCATTTGCGGCCAGAAGCAGTGACCCTCTGCCTGAAAATTGGACTCTTTATGGGATTCCCAATCGTGTAGAACGGGTTCATCAATGTCTTGACCCAGAGTTCGAAAACCTCGTTCATAAACTGCCGAATAGCCTCCTCTGTCTGAGGACTAGTAGGATTCTGCGGAATTGAAGTCGACGAAATGGTAGATGCTCGAGCGCCAGCGGAGGAGTTGATCACTGCCGATGGTTGATGGAGAAGCATAAATCGAACATTTGTCCCCGTAATGAAGCAACTGATGTGCGAGTTCGTAGGTGCATAGTTGTCAATGACTTTAAGCCACATGTTTGGCGTGAGCCACTGCACTTCTTCCACAACATCCAGGGCGGCGTGGACAATAAACTGGTTCATGTATCGAGAGGTCTCGCCATTGCGGAATCGAGCAACGCCATCGCCGCCAGCTTTTGATGTACCGAAGGTCAATTCGAAGAGCGGCGAGTCGGCCGGCGAGATTATGGCGAAGTAATACGACATTTTTTTTGTGGTTTTTTGGGTGCACTGACCCAGACAAGTCTTCAGATGTGATTTTAGCCAATACGCGCTGATTGAGACCTCAAATGACTGTGTTCGACCAGTGGCAGAAGACATTTAATGCTTGAAGTGGGCGAGGCTAGGTGAAGAAGGCTCGGCACAACTCCGGGGAAATGGCGGGCGCATGATGGCTCCCAAGACACCTCGAAGTCGGAAATCCAAAACTCCCGACACAACGAACAAGCAGATTCTAGACGATTTGTCTCCCCCAAGTACGATGCGAAATGCCGTCTCTAGCGTTCGGTCTCAGTTCTGCCAAAACCTCCTCAAGTGTTTCGAAACCTCCGCAGAAACGCAAAGCCTTCTTCGACGAAGATGCAGCCGAGGACGTCGCGCCTGCGCCTGAATATGGAGCGAAGAAAAGCTCGAAATCTCTGCGACCCATAAAAGACTTGGACGACGACGGCGATGATGGAGAGCCGCCAAGGAAGTCGCCAAAGCTCTCGCAGTTCGGTCTGCAGCCTGCGAAGCCAAAATTCTCCGGAACTGCTCCCGGGATAGACAAATATGTCAATCTGTCGGCTCTGCGCAGTGCCAAATTGCATGACGAAGAAGCCTCAAAGATAGATGCGTCTGTCTACGACTACGACGCCGCCTACGATACGTTCCATGCGGAGAAAGAGAAGAAGTCGACTGAAGCGGGTGGGTCTTCGGGACCGAAATACATGGGCTCACTCCTGCAGAGCGCTGAGGTGCGGAAACGAGATCAACTTCGAGCGCGAGAGAAGCTCCTACAACGTGAAAGAGAAGCAGAAGGAGACGAATACGCTGACAAGGAGAAATTCGTGACCGGGGCGTACAAGAAGCAGCAGGAGGAAATCAGGCGGATGGAGGAAGAGGAGAAAAGGCGTGAAGAAGCCGAAGAAGAGCGGCGAAGGAAAGGCGGTGGCATGACTGCTTTCCACAAGCGCATGCTGGAGAAGGACGAAGAGAGGATGCGGATGATTAAAGAGGCCGAAGAGGAGGTCGCAAAGAGAAAGGAAGGTGGTGTGGAAGAGGAGACGCCCGTTGTGGAAGAGGAATCCGAAGCGAAGATGGCTGAGAAAATGAATAAGCAAGGAGCACGGATCATTGTGAACGATGAAGGCGAGGTGGTTGACAAACGACAGCTGCTATCCGCGGGCCTGAATGTGGCACCCAAGAAGCCCGGAAAAGAGCAGGCCGCCCCTGCGAGACTGGAATCTGCTCGCAAAGATGAATACTGGAAATCGTCCAAGGCGGTTGATGCGCGCCACGCTCAGCGCGAGAGACAATCGCGAATGATGGAGAGACAGATTGAGGAGATGATGGAGAAACAGAAGCAGGCTGAAGCGGAAGAGGAGAAACAACAGCAGGAGAAGATTAAGAGCAAGGTCAGCGAAGCCGATAAGATGAGTGCCAAAGAGAGGTTTCTGCAGCGGAAAAGGGAGAGGGAAGAGGAAGCGAGGAAGAAGAAAGAGGCTGGCGGTTGAAGCGAGTCGAGCGTCTGTTCTCAGCCATTTTTCTTGGTCCCTTTTGGGTCATGCCGGTTATGCTTACTGGATGAACATGCCACCGTCGACAGCGATGATCTTGTTGTGGACATAACCGGTCTTGACAATCCACAGGACCGTCTCTGCGATCTCTTCAGGTTTCCCAAGTCTCCCGATGGGGATCTCTGAGCCGTTCACGGTCAGCAAATTAGAGCTCGGACGAAACAGTGCACGGAGTGGCTCACTCGCAGATAACTCGGCGGACCCTCCAGGCAGCATCTTGGTCTCCTCGATCAGGGCTGGAGCGACGCCATTGATGGTTACGCCAGTCTTTGCATAGGCGCCTGCCAGCCAATGCACCAGGCCGTGCAGTGCCGACTTGGACGACCTATCACATGAGAAGTCAGACTGAGAGGGACGAAAAAAGTATCGAGAAGGTCACTCACGCATAATGCGGTCCCACCACACCACCCGTAAAGCCAGCCACACTGGAACAAAACACGACTCTGCCCCAGCCGGCCTCTACCATCTTGGGGATACACAACTGAGTGAGCAAAAACGCCGTGCCGCAATTCGCTCTCCACGTCTGTTCAAAGTCATCCACGGACACCTCGCTGATATCCTTCACGCGGGATTTCCCCATGGTCAACCCGGCGTTGTTGAACAGGATGGTTGGATGGCCCATCTCTCGCACGACGTTGGCGTGGAGAGCGCGGGTCTCGTCGTAGGAGGACAGATCGGCGCGGAAGGCCGAGGCGCGCACATTCATGGATTTGAGCTGGGCGACGAGCGATTCAGCCGTGTCGGAGGCGCTGTGGTAGTGGACGGCAACGGGGCAGTTGAGGCGGGCGAGGGCAAGGCACGTGGCTTTCCCTATTCCGCCTGTCGCCCCGGTCACCAGAGCGAGATGGGAGGAGAGATTGGTGGTCAAGGCCATTTTTTGTCGGTGGAATAGTTGGACGTTGCAGGAGATGATATAGTTAGGTAACTCTGTGGGAAGTGGAAGAAGACATCCACAGCGAGACCTCAACTCAACTCAGCTCAACTCAGCCTAGCTCTTACTTCCCGTCTCTAAACCGGGTATCCAGGACCAGAAGACCAAGCTGGCTTCTCTATCGGTTCAACTGCCGTACTTGATTCTCTCGTTCTTCCGTCGCCCTCTCGCTTTTCCAGCCCACTCTAGGATTTAGCCTTTGAATCTTCTTCTCTCCTCTTCGTTTTTCTCTCGAGTCCAGCAAATATGCAGATGGATCCAAATCACCGGCCTACCCAAAGCTGTAGATATAGTCACCCTATACGTACAGGGTACACGTGCACGGTGCGAGGCACTCCGCATATATTCCGGCGGGACATTAATCTGACTGGTGAAGTGGCACTTGGGCGTTGGTTTATCCCCGAGAACAATCTAAACGCCGAGTCCCACACAATCCCCCGCCACGATGGCAGTCCACACAAATTCAAGCAGCGCAACCAAAACACCAACCCACCCGAAGCTCTCTATGAACAGCTCAGTTCGCTGTCCTGTCGCTATCGCTGACGCTGAGTATTGTGCACTGACACCGGCGCGAGGGATAGCAACAAACACCCCTCCTCCGTCCATGAGATCTGTCCGGCGCTGTTTTCCTTCCTCTACATACACCCGTTAATCGATTGAGCTGCACACGCCCGCACCCACACGTGTATATACCTCCACACAGAGTCCTGAGAGCCGCGTCACCCGGGGACCGAGTCTGAGCTTCTGAGGGACACGAACAGGGCAGACGGGGCTAGAAGGAGAAAAGGAGGGAATACAAGTCAAGATCAGGGTATAGCGCACATTGTATACATCTATATATCTATATATGGTGAATCAGGCGAGACTGGCGAGGTCCAGCGTTGCCAATCATCCCAAAGAGCGGTCTCACTGGTGCCATTGACAAGTACTGCACGAGCCTTGCAAACTTAGGTGTACAACCTTGCACCAGCATTGGGGGCAAACAAAACCGCCGCCATCGCGCCCATTGACACGCTCCTCAATGTCAATATCAACCCACCGATCCTCCCCGTCATGTCCCTCAAGTCTAACGGCCGCCGTCCTCCAGCTGCACTACCTGGCTGAAGGTGCCGCCAACATCATCTACAGCGTCTCTGTTCTGTCCCCCTTTTCTCTCCAACACCACTCACACTGCTGCGTCATGCGTCTCCGCAAAGACCTGCCCTTCACGCAACCCGCCGTGCAAGCCATGTCCGACTTTCAGAACCGCATCGCACCGCTTTTCAACGAAAAGCACAAGGCCTTGTTGATGGAACAGGCGCTGTATATGCTCACGCCAGAAATGGTGAGCAAGTCCAATAACGAATTAAAAGAGATAGACAGTGTGGATTTATCTGCCCTCTCGTCAGAAGATGTCAAGGGGAAACACATCCGGCATCATCATAGACGCCATGTCTACCTCCCCTCGTACGAGAACGAGCAGTATGGGATTTTGATGCAAAACTTGCAGGGTCCTGGGGTTGATTGGTTGGTCGAGTTCAAGCCGAAATGGCTGGTGCAGAGCCCCAGTGCGCCTGCAGACGCGAGGAATTGCAGGACGTGCGCGCTGAATACAATGCGCAGAGAGGCCGGAGCTCATCAAGGAAGAGGTGACTCGGGATTCTGTCCTTTGAACCTGCTGGTACCTGATGGCGTGGTGTTGGAGCGAGCGCTGAAGAATATCTGGCCAATCAAGGATGGGATCAACCAATTTGTATCGGCGTTCAGAGAGAAGGTCCAACCTGCTTTGAGGCATTTACAGACTCTTCAAGAAGAACATGGGGCGGTGGGATTGGACGATTTTCTCCATCCCGACGGCAAGGACTTTGGCGTGGCCATGGCACTGAGGGATTGCAGCGTCTTTCTAGCTCTAAGGCGAAGAATCGACTCGGATGATGGGGGAGTCGAGATTATAGACGTCAAGCTCGCCGACTTGGATTTGAAGACGAGCGAGGCAGGAAAGGTCCAGAAATGGGCAGCCATGGAGCAGGAGCTGCTTACTGGTGGTTGGTACCAGAAGCTCGACGGGTCGAATTGTGCGTTGAGCCGTCCAATTCTGTCACAAGCATAATTACGTTCTGTCACCAATTGTGTTTGATGGGAAAGATGAGATCGGCCAGTCTCTGGATGTGGGGGTCCTCGATGGCTCTGATCTCGTCCTTGATCTGCTCGAGCAATTCCTCGGACAATCCGCCCCTGCGACGAGCGTAGACGTCGACGCCCGCGGGCGTAAACAGCGTCTTCTGGAAATACGTGACCACCCAACCGCCCTCCTCGTCGCCGTATCCCAGTATCTGCCAGTGGCTCGACGCGATTTTCAGGAGACCTTTGCCGCGCCAGCTGTATGCGCCTTTGGTGTGGGCGTCCGGGGTGTCGACGCCTTCGACACGCTTGTGCTTGTCCGAGGTCAGCGGCTGGTATTCGACCAGGTCATCGAGGCGCTCGCCGTCCTGCGGTATAGAGGTGTAGGTGATGGTCACATTGCGGTTGTGCTTCCACATGGGAAGCGTCGAGTGGGTGACGTGCCATGTCCCCTGCAGGAAGGCTACGTCGGGAGACTCAAAGTCGCAGGCACCAGGAGACGCGGTCGATGGTGGACGGAAATTGAGTTGTGGTGTTCCTGGGGCGGCGGGCATGATAGGGGATGGAGTGGTGGTGATGGTGCTGGGTGTGTGTATGCCGCAGACAAAATGGTTTGGAGAAGGAGATTGAAGTTGGAGTAGTAGTCACAACCGTTTGTTACAGAGGAGTGACCAGAGGAGTTGGGGCTGCCACCGACTGGTGGAGGCTGCCTGCTCCTTTAACTACGGGGAACTCTTAGCCCTTCGTACATCCCCTTGCAACAGATAAATGCTTGTAACCAGTATTGGGCACCCGTACCATGTGGGCTGATGTTCCTTGTGCTCGTCAAGTTCCTTCAACACGACTAATTGGGTAAACAGTCACACCACAATCTTCCTTGTTGATCTCTGACGCCGCGATATTTATCACCAGAGAGTGACAAGATGCCCAAAACAGAGCACCAAAAAAGCCACCGACGTCCTTGTTCCCTGCCTCTTTAACCAACAAGTCGATCAATTGCCGCTGGCCATGTCCAAAAACTCACCTCAAGGTCACACCGTACTGCAAAGTAATGCACTTGCCATCTCAACCACAGGGACTTGACACGATCCTGAAACAGTGCCCTTCAGTTACAGGAATCGGAAACGCCCTCTCTCTTCCATCTCGATGTACAGTACTTGTAACTCCGTACTTGGGACATGGCTAATCGGAATGGACGGGCGCATGACTCTCCTAGTCTCCCATTGACTCAATATGACTTTATCTGAATTATTTCTAACTAGACCCCTTATACGAACTGCAATTGTCTGCGTGGTGGCCAACGGGCAACCCCGGTAATTAATCAGTTGAAGCAACCCATTGAGAACGATCAGGCCCGGCTAAGCTAGTTAGCTAAGTTGAACTGTCCAAGTGACTGCCTCAGCCACACACACTTCCGACATGCAATGTGGTGAGACGATCCATCTCGAGGCCGTTTCGAAATTCCTGGGTACTAATGGTTGGGGATGGTTTCGTCAAACCAAACCTTCAGACAATAAGTCGAGTGACAAACACCTCCTACCACATCCGACTCTCCCTGGCCTCCTGGACATCATATATGTCCTATCGGTTCTCAGGGCGAGGGAGATAGACCATCTCAGGGTGACCTTGGGTAACCTATGTCTTTGTTGAAGGGACAGCCCCGTCCAAGTCTTGGGTGGGAGACCTCCAGAAGGACGCGTCATGCATTACCTTTGGACAGCTCAAATCGCATACACTCACATAGATCCAGCATCAAGACTCTAGCTCAACATCTTCAGGAGTCAAATCTCCTGTCAGCAAACTCATGCTCTGGACCAGTTTTCGGAAAAGGGAGAATGGTCGACACCAGTTTTTGTTCTCCACCAACAGTCACCCAGACCTGCCTTGTTCGTCTTCTGCCTGCCGAGCTGCAAAGGACATCAATGACTATGACAAGCTCTGTGAAATTAGAGACAGATTCACCAACAGGGAGGCAAGATTTTTTTTTTTCATCTCGGGTGTATCAATGATCGACCGTAGTCAACCTTTCCCCGCACGGCGTACAATACCCCGCATCGCGTATATTCAAAATGAACTTTTTGTTGACTGAGTTCCTGTCCTCACTTTGTGCTCACTCTGTAATGTCTTTTCGCCACCGCGTTCACGTCACCGATTGCGTCCATTGAACTCCCCGCGACGTCCACCACCGATCCAGCATCATGAATCCGAATTTCGTCGCGAACTGGCGCCGGCGCGATACTAACATGACGGCCAGAGACCCGCCCGGCGCGTCCAGCAGCTCCGACAGCGACCTAGTTCCATCCCCTAACCAAGCTACTGGTGAAGAGGAGACCGAAGAAACTACTGCACCCTTGGACGGGGATGGTGTGGCAGACCCTGTCGCCATAACGTCGGTCCTCGAAGCAATCACAGCCCAGAGCCGTACTCTACCGGTGGTGGCCCCGCTCTGGACCGAATATCGACTGACAGCATGCCATTTGGATCTGCTCAAGCAGCGCATCGAATTGTTTGGTGAGGGCGGGAAACTGCGGTATGCCTCAGGAAGAAAGGAGATGTCCGACTTGGACTGCAGCTAACTGTGAGCCAAGTTGTGGGTATTTCTCCCGTACCAAGACCTTTGTTCACGAAGTGCCCTCATCTGCGCATCAGACGTGCGCTAATAAGTTTCGCTGGAGTGTCTATGAGAAAGTGCTGCGTGTATGCCCTTCGCTAGAAGAACTGCCTTTTGTGAAAGAAGTCATCTTTGATCACTCGCCAGCCATCCAAGCAAGTGACAGCCAGAGCAAAGATTTCCACCAAGCAGATCTTTTTGTCAATCATATCCTCTCCATGGATTATGGTTTTTGTCTAGAGCTCGCGTATGCGCAGAAGCGCGACAGACTGTCCGATTTGGCCCAATTCTACATCCACCACAGTGAGACAGAGACACAGCTTGTCATCGGCATCGACTACGACCCCAAACATTCGAAGAAAGCCACTCTACTGACGTGGAGACGCGACGGCGACAAGCTTAAAGCCCATGTTCAGGTTAGTGTATCATCCCAGCTATTACTAAACAAGCCACTCACTATTAGCGCCTAGGATCTCCGAGACGATGACGGCAAAGTCATTCCCGGCGACCCACTACGGATCAACGTGTTGGACATCGCCCCACCACATTGCACCCCGCTCTCAATGCACAGCAAGGCTATTGAATTTTCCGTCAAAGAACTTGATGATATTCTGTATGTCCAGGATTACCACCACGGGAAGTTGTGGCAGTATGGAGGAGTGCCCGAACCGCAGTATGATTGACCAGACAGCGGTTCTGTGTCAGGCCAAGCTTGTCACACATGACAAGCATATCGATCTCCGAGCGGGGCGCAAGGCTAGACCAGCAAGAACTGGCTCTCCAACTTGAGTCCAAAGACATGGTACTCCAAATGATACCCCTGTGCAAATACAATCATGTTTCAGTGATCCAAGATACCCAACACCGGTCGAGATGAAGGACCCGGAGCTATGAGGCGTCATGAGGACATTGGAGCAGCTCATCCATGTACGGATATTGGACAGTCTCACGGAGAGACTTTTAGTGAGAACACTGGAAATTAAGAATTGGAGAAAGAGAATCAAAAAAAAAAAATAAATAAGTAAATAAATACACTGTCTTGACTTGCGCTGCGCGACAACGTGTGCTGAGATAACTTCATACGGAGGAGCACTTATGGCGGCGTAGCACTGGTCACTATGAGGTTACCCATCTCGTAGCTGGATACATAGCTGTGATTGGTTCGTCCAATCTGCCAAGACCCTTATTTTCTCCACCCGCCTCGTTTCGCTTATCGGAGCTACTCGTACGCGATCCGCTATGACGTCTATTTGTTTACATCCCTCCCCCCTCACGCCACTTACGGTGTCACCGCCTTCACGGCGAGTCGAATGAACTGAAAAATACCACTTGTAGGCAAATTAGCACACTAAAGTCCTGCACTATGAGAGCAGAGGTCCCTCACCTTCGTTGACAATGAGCATTCCGTTTTACCCTTGGAAATAGAGGCACTCTGTCGTCCATCTAGGCCCCGTTAGCTGCGTTCGACATCGCCACCACTTGGTCATTATCGGGGTCTCTACTTCGGCTACATTGGATGCGGCGCGTATGTTGGGGTCAGACCGTGTCATTTGTTTTTCAACTCGGCTTGGCCGTCGCCATCACTGTCGTCATAACCATGCTCCTCCTCCGCAACCTTGGAGAGTTGCGGGAATCCGGATACTTAGATGAGAAGGGCAAAGAGACAGGTATGGAGCGAAAGAGAGGGAAACCGAGCACGAAAATGAAATGAAAAGTTTGGGTTAGAGAATTTGAGCTATCCAGCCAGGCGCAAGGGCCGAGGGGTATCATCTATCTATACAGTAAAAGGTACCTGGTACCTGGCACAATGTGCTGTTATGTGCCGACTCGCTGCGACTACCGCTGCTGCTGCTGCTGCTGTGTCGTTCGCGTGGTGTGCTTTGTGTTTTTATTTCTCCAAAATGGCAGTGTTGATCATTTCACGCTGCCACTTGGCTATGGCCAAGTAGTGGCAGAGCCGGCTGGGAGAGAAATACCGGTCTCGAGACCGAGATATGTCCGAGTGTCGAGGAGCGGCTTCACGTCTGCTAGGATCATACGTTCGGGGCAAAACTCACGCAGGCTGAGATCCAGGCCCTTGCATTCTGCGGTGCGTTGTGGCGCCTCACAGCCGGAGAATAGGGGGTCTCAGGGATTGATGGAATGAATAAGGCATTTGTGTAACCAAGAGCCTGAGGGCTGATGCATGAGGCATAATAGATCTCTTGTATTGTTTGAATACAGAAGTCATCCTACCAAATACCGCGCAACTTGGGAAATATACAAATATCTTTCGCTCATTGTCCATGCGATGGCCAGCGATATCACAACCATGAAACAGCTCAGTGATTACTGACTTAACAGAAGTTACCAGCGCGCCCATGCCCCTTGTGCCTCGAGAATTCCGCCTCGGACGAAGAACGAAGACGGCCATAAGCCAGTGTATCCGTGGGCGTGTTAAATCTCGCCACAGGACGCAAACCGGGACACCATGAGAGCGGTCGCCTTGTCCGGACGATCCGAATGCTGCTGACCTCCTTCACCGACCAGCTCCCGTGCGCAAAACTCTGTGTGGTTATACCCGCCGACAATGCTGTCGAGGGGAGCCTGGCGCAGAAGAGCCCGGTGCATCTTCTGCCACGTGAACACGCAGTGGTACGCAAGCTGCTCGCTCGAAACATAAAGGGCGTCGAACTCGCCAAGCTCGACCTCGCGCTGAGAAACGGCCTGCGTTCGGTTCTCGTCCAAAAACCACCCCCAGGCCCGGAGAGAGCTGAACTCCGCGGCCAGCTCGCGATCATAACATGCTGGGGCCATCCAGCCGAAACTCACAATGTCGAACGCGCAGCCCTGCGACAGCGCCTCGCCGCGCGTCGAGCCGCAATCTTGCCGTGACGACGACAGCGAGACATTCGTCCTTGCGCTCTCGGCGATGATAAAGCGCAGGCCGAGACTGACGGAGACCAAGACGACCACGATGACGACAACCATTGACACAATCTTGGCCCGTTCTGACTGCCAGGCTTTCTCTATGCCCTTACACGAGCTCAGGTCGCTTTCTTCTCCTCCTTCTTCCTCTTCCGCTCCTGCCGCTGTTGTCACTGTCGGCAGCAAATCATACCTGAGCCCTCTGCTCATGTTGCCGAGGACCATTTCGATGTCCATTCCACGGCGCAGGGCTAGTCGGCGTTCGGTGAGGTCTCCGATTTTCTCTCGTCGGGCGTCTGTTCTTGGGAGATGAAAATGCGAAGCGCTATAACTCGATCTTCCCTTGTCTTCTGCGCACCCGCCTTGAATGTCTTCTAGCGTTTGGAAGGGGGCACAGTGAGCTACATCCAAAGGATAACGCTGTTTCGGCCCATTATACACAAACTCCGTGAAGTGCTAGGCAGCGCATGTATCATGTATCACTACCGCCACCACCACCGGGTGCCAGTGCCCCTTCAGTCGTGCAGCGGACGATCCGCTCCCCGCCCGCCGCTGAAGAGGCTCACAGGGCTTAGGCCGTCCCATCTCATGACAGTATGACCCGAGTGGGTTATGCTCTTGGGACCCGGAACCAGGCCAAATCAAGTCCCATTGTTCTCCTCCTGTGAGAGACGCGCCCAATCTGGAATGCCTGACTGTCTGCCGATGTCCCTTTCATTGTCGAGAAAAAGTTCGCAAGCGAGGCATGCCCTATGACGATAGATAGAGGACCATGTATGGGTCGTGAGCGATTAGAATAACATTGACGATCTCTCCTGCGCATTTTACTGTGGTAATGTGCAGCGTACAGTGCGGGATGTTGTCAGTCGCTTGCTTCCTTGCTGGCCCGTCAGCTTACCTTATCTTATACATACCCACCCATATCCGTACCCACAGCATACCCGTAGCATACCCGTGCCCGCGAGATCCTCTGGCCTTGGCTGGGCCCAGCCTTGGTGGCCGCTTAGACCTTGACGCGAGGCTGCGCCAAAGAAAAAGACACACCCTCTCAAGAACAACCAGCCACAAGTACGTCAAGAAGCCCTTGGAGTTTGTTTCGCCACCATGCGATCGAATCTCTGGCGAAGATGGTGTTTTCTTTTCAGAAGTTGACGGGACACGCGTGCCGGGAGGCTAGCCTTCCGGGCCCTGTCTGGTTGGTTTGACAATATCAATCCGGCGGTGCTGTAATTGGAGCCGGAGCTGGGAGTGATAGGTGAGAAGAACCGCGGCGAGGGGAATGAGATAATAAAAAAACAAAGACAAAGTCTGAGCCTCGTCCCCAGGACAGATCGGCCGTCCAACCACTCCTTGAGAACTGGAATCAGCGCGGTGGGTGCGGCATGGGACGTGAAGGAAGAAAGTGTAATGAGAGAGTCTGTATGGCAATGAGTGGTAGGATGCAGAACATGGAGAAATAACTATGTTTTCAACTTATATATGTGCCTGCGCCTACGGACATAATAAGGACGGACAAACTGTTATCATCTACACAGCTTGTTGTCCCGGACAGTGTCAGAGATCCTTCGTGGAGAAATCATTGATCGGACGTCGACTCAATTGAGTGGTTGAATCCGTTCACTCGTGAAGATCTATCAATGAAGCATGAGTTGAATAGATCAATGGATCTCATAAGGAAGACATGGCCATGAGATTTGAAACATCTCATCCAGCAAACGACTGCGGTCCTCGCGGACTCGGGCTGTCCGGGGCGGCTCCTCTCGATGTATATTGTATGTGAATTGCAGAGGGATATCACCTGTGCGGCAGCGTGAGCATTGTCGAATGGGTTTGAGGGCAACAGACACCGCAGCGCAATGCTCGAGATGTTCTATCTTATTTAGATTGTAGGTTTCGTGGCAGGATGCTCCATATGCCTGAGTCTTGACCGAGTGGAAAGTGGCTTGCCTGCGAAGGATTGTCTAAGAACCACTGCCCTAATTGAGGAGCGTGTGAGGGCGATGCGTCGAGAGTTTCGACAACAGCAAAGTGATGCGGTCTGTCTCCCGTGGAGTAGTTTAGAGCGAAGGAATGTTAGACAGTTGGGTGATCTTTTCTGGTGTGCTGAAGAGAAAAGCAGCTGGGGTGGCAGGTGCAATCTCCAGTGATTTCCTGGCCATGATGCAAGTATAAACGATGGCACGGTTGGCCGCGCGTGCATTGCATGTTGGGACAACCTCTCACACAATGTCATCCCCGCGCAGCTGGCATCGAAGGATCTAAGTCATGCTGTGAAAGGCGGCGGCGGAATTTAGACGCGGAATCGCTTGAACACAAGACACCTCGACAACCTGCGTTCTCGAAATGTTGCACATGAGGCGGACGGTGTAACCCTAGAGCGGGGAATGAGTGTTGACAGCTGCTTCGCAACCATGAGGTGGATGTCGTGTAGCTTGGAAGGAATTGTGTTGCGCAGCGTTGTTCCCAAGGTTTCGCCTGGGGAAGATTCTATTGCTAATTAGCATAATCACGCAATGTCAAACACGAGAGCTGCCTGAGACTCTCTGATAAGCAGACTGTCGCAGAGAACGGCACAACGGTCTGCAAGCCACCGCTCCTTCGCGCATTAGCCCCCTTGGCCGGAACGACGACGAGACATTTGCCACGGGAAGGGGGGACCAAAGAGCCAATTGCACGGTTAATGTGTCTCAAGACATCGATGATGGTGGCTGTCTGTTTGGAGGAGAGAGATTGAGGATGCGAGAACCAGAGGTCTGATGGAAGTTTCCAGATCTGCAACGAGATGTGCGAAAGGGACTTGGGAGGTAAGTATGTGCGAGTGAGATGAGAGGGCCACCGAGTTAGCGAATGCCGCTCATTCAATTAGGATCGACATGGCCCGTCGACAATCAAAATGTCCGCAATCAGACGGCTTCTATGTGAAGGTATGGTTGTCGAACACCCTCGACATTGTTCAGACGGAGCGCACCGATCTCGGTCCCAACAAGCTGAAACAGGCTGCTGCTCTCGTGTTCTCGAGGGCCGGACTCAACCATGGTCGACGCACGGCGGACAGGACCGTTCAGAAAAAGGTTCTAGGCCCAACGTTGTAGGCTTGATCTGTATGACATATATGCATGTGCTGTAGCATTGGAGATGAGCGAGGTCTGGGGATCTCCACGATCTCGAGGAGGATTCTGGAGATATTGTTCGCAAAGGGATGTGGCTCGGTCAGGTAAGGATTGAGGATCTCCAGTCGTATACTGGAAAAGGGTTGTGGTTCTCGCGCAGAGGCGGAGTCTGGCAGGACTGAAATTTTCACATGTCAAACGCGGCTCGCATGGAAAATTTCCAAGCTGGACAAATCACGTAAGAGAATAGGCTGGGAGCAAGAGGCCGGGGCAACTGCACCCCGCCATCACTGCATAGATCGGCCAGGGACCTCGTCCCAACAAATTTTGGCGAGGCGTTTGGACGGATACGATGTGTGGCATTTCCGTCTCTGATGTCTGTGTTGCGCCATGCATTCGACGCGAAGCATGTGCGACTTCAAAACGGCGAAGGGAGTATGAGGGCTCCGGGTGGCGGATGGGTTGGGTAGCAGAGGATATACCATTTCTGGCCCAAGAACGGCAAATCCTGGCCGATATGGGTAGTAGTGGCAACTTGCAAGTCAACCCTCATCTAGCAAGGGGCGTGATGGCGCCAGTGTGGCTTGCATAAGTCTTGGTATCAAACTTGATAGCAGCTGCGAACAGCCAGCGGATTTGCCAGTGGAGATATGAATGCGCCGAGTCTTGCTGGCTGCATGCACTTGAACCTGGAGAAGAAGGATGGGAAACCATATCCACCGCTCTCGTTGACTGTTGGGCTTGACAGTTCACACGGACCAGTCGTTCCTAACGACATGTTTGCGGAGTGCATATTCACACCGCCTACTGTCAGAGCGGTGGAACCAACACTGGATCCAGCAGAGGTCGAGGCCTCCCTCCAGGTGGAGATTTGCCATGGAACCGCTGGCAAAAATTCAGTAGCTGGCCCTGGAGACTGGAGACTGGAGACGAGAACAACGGGGCCGAGACTCTTGATGCTGCAGAGAATGTTGGGGATATCGCCTGCCAGTTGGCCATAGCGTGGGACTGCCATGTATGTATGCACTTGGTATATACGGAGTAGGTGGTTGATGTGGCTTCCACCTGCAATTTGCCACCTCAATGGTTGAGAAGGTAACAAGACAAGATAACTCGGGGCTCCAGAGTTCAGAGTGGTGCTCGGTACAGAGCACGGGCGTGTATATGCGTCTTGGCTATGCTATTCTGGCACAACGCGGGATGAAAAATTTAATGAAAAAAATAAGTGTGCCGTGGCCATCCCAAGGAATTTCCGAGGTGGATGGTGGGAATTGTCTTGGCCGGGGGTCCCTTCCTTACCTTCCCCGCTCCGGGTTCCAGTGTCGAGTTTTTCCGAGGACGACTAATAAATTAGGGATCATGTGACCGGCCTCACCGCGAGGGCGCAGGCACCGCGGGAGTGGAACAAAGTTGCACATGCTTCGAAATGAGATTCAAAACACTTGTTGATAACAAAACTCACCTTTTTCGCCTGCGGCCTTACTCTGTACCGCTCTAGCGTCATGGGGCCATCTTTATTCATCATGTATTAATAATGGATCCCTGATACTGATGTGTTTGCCACGTATACTGTCGCTATCGAGTAAGCGACCACCCTTCGTGCCGTCCTAGGGTACCCGTCCTCCCATGTCTAGAAAGACCCCCCCATCCAGTCGACTCGAGAGGTGCTTTCAGGGATGAGAGAAAGATGGATACCGCTATGGATCTGCTCGGCAGCTAAAACATGGAGGGTGGTCAGGTCAAACACTGCGCGCCCTCAGGGTCCATGCTGGCCCAAAGAGCCAATGTGAGAATTGAGACGGCTCGTCAAGTGGTAAGGGACCCCCCAGCGCACAAGGGTTCAACCCTCCAGGGAGCAAGGTATCCAAGGCTTCGCCCGCCACAGGGACTTCTCAATTAAAATTCTCGGCGCTTAAGGGTTTTGCATTGGGCAGACTCGATCAATGGTGATCCGAACGACGTGAGCGAGGAGAATGTCTGACTTGTCCACCACCGCTTGACTAGAAAAGAGGAGGGGTTGAGGCCACAAAACAGCTACTGTAACTGACATGCAACTACAAGAGAACCCCATCTCTTTGCATACCAAGATTTCAAGAAGCCGGGGGAGGCTCCAGCTGGCAGCATAGGCACCTCTCTCGACGCCGCCATGACTCCTCCCTGACACGTCCTAAGGAAAGGGGGTTCTTGAGATGTTTGTGGGGACACCTGCAAACTTGTAGGCGGACTTTTGACTTGAAGAGCACTTCCATCTTCCCTTTTGGGATGACACTGAGATGGCAGGCGCTGAAGGGCGGGGCAAGAGATTTCAACACGAGAGAGTCAATCTCCACCTCCCACACGATAGTATGGTAGGATGTGCAACTTGACAAGAGGTGAGCACAAGCGCCTCATCCAAAGGCGCCTAGACAAAGCTACTGTTTGTCTACCTGGTGGGCAACCCGTCTAGAGGGCTTCCGCCTAGGCAATTGTTCGCTCATCTGTGACCGGTGCAAAAGCGGCTCCACCATTATCATCATGGAAGGAGGGGTTGTGCTTGATATTGGCGTCGTCAGGAATGAGCAGTCAGAGTGCGAAGCGCGCCTCTCTGGAAACTGGCACGTCCCTTGCCCTTTTCTTTGTGAGAGATATGGTAGCGCTTATCGCAAAGACGACTTCTCCTTCGTAGCTGACTACATTGCTTGCGCTGATCAGAAGCAAACCGTCATCCGTGTGGATAGCACCTTTGTCGATTTACAGAAGAGAGACTTTTGTTGATGGCGAAGCTATGTCGAGGTTGCCCCAATAACTTCCACAGGGATGTATCTCGTATCGAACCATCCAAGGTATTGAGGGTTGCTCGATGTGTTTCATTACCGTATGGTGCGATGTTTTTTTGGCCTTGTCATTTTGTCGGAATCGATTACTGCTTTAGTAAAGGGCATACCTGGGGTGAATCATGCCTAACCCTGATTCCACTATAGCCTCGGTCCTCGTTGATTCACGCTCGATCCCTGTGGATGGGGGGCTTCGAAGTGCGTCTCTGATACGAGACCGACCTGCTCGAGGGCGATTCAGTTGCTTCAGTTTGCGACAAAGCAGGGTGACAATTAGCGTGCATGAAGTCGCCTGTCTCCCACAGATAAAGGACGTGTACGCCACGCGTCCAAATGATTGGTTGTGCACCTATACCGCCTTTTTGGCCGTGGGGGTTACACCCTCAGGGTACGCCCACCTCCGAAGCTGCCAGGGATTTCTCGTGTGTTGACATGTCGAGGCTTGACATCCTATCTTTCCGTGACCCCGGGTCCGCGTCACAACCGTGACGGTGGCAAAGAATGTCCGATCCCAGAGCAGGAGAGTGAGTAAGAAAACCAATGCATTATACTCGGTTTACGTCATCAACCGATGAGAACTTGGAGAGGGCTTGAGATCAGTGAGGCACTTTAAAAAGTATGGTCTCCTGATGGCTATCTGGAGGGTCGCAGGAATGACCAAGGTACGTACTGAAGTCACTGGATCTTATGTATATTTCCGTCACTGCCGCGAGATCCGGTACGAATTGCATGACGATGGAAAGTTCGCGCAGATGGGGAAGGTTCCCCCAGGAAGAGCGAAGCCACGACTCTGACGCGAGCAAAGCAAAAGCAACTGCGCGCAAGCTGTCCGCCCTAGCCAGGGGTTGGTTTGATTGGAGGGCATGAGTCGTCCTTCACCGCCCTGATTGAAATTTGATTCAGGACGGCAAACAGCCAGTCAGAGGCTGGAGCGCAACTCACCGCCCTGCTAAAGTCGGCAAAGTGAGGGGAAAGGAGTTGGCTTCTCGGGGACTTTGGTCCAGGTTCCAACTCTCAATGTCGTCTTTGCGGGCGTCAGACACCAGGACTTCGCATAGCCTGGCTCGCTAACCTGTCGCCAGTTTAGATTCTCGCGGGGTAAGTTGAATGGTATTCGGGCATCTTGCTTTCGCGAGGTCAGTCATGACGATCGGATTCCATTCCCGGTGGCAGTTGATTTTTTCTTTTCTCTCTACCACTAGCTAGACAAGGGTTGCTGACGCCTCATGATGTCGCGATATTGCAACAGTGCTAGACTTGAATCTGGGAAAATCATGGTCCACGCCCAGTTCCCAACTGTACTCCACAGGGGGCGCAGAGAGATGTAGAGGCCGGATGTGTGATCCGGCGGTACGGCACCACAATGGACATTTCATTTCTCCATGCACCATCCATGAGGGGAAGTTGTGGCAGCTGAGGTGATACGGCAGGGCAATCCTGTTAGATTATGAACGGTTTGGACCTGTGGATGGAGTATTACTTACCTAGGGAGGACTATCGACGGCCCTATGTATGCTCCCGCCTCATCGGTCATGAGCTGGGACCATATATCGAAAAGATCGTCAAGGACACTTTGCCTGCAGTGGCACTCTAGGCATAGTTATTTCTGAAGGTTCCCGGGGGGGATGAGGGCAGCAAAATCGGCAGTCTCTAGGCATGTTCCAGGCCCAACGAAGTTCCCCGGGAGGCCCCGCTGGTAGCTATAATTTGAGGCCTACCTCCCTAAGTACTGAGCTAGGGCCGCCATAGCCCCATAGACCGGACTAGGTATCCTGCTTCTTGACTTGAAAAAATCTTGATTTTGCTGCCGACGAATACAAGGTCCAAGACCGGTGCAGATCTGCGCGGCCACGCGAAGGATTGCCAGGTACACAATTGACAGCATCCCGCAAGATCCTCGCGGGCCCCGTTGTCGGCCACCCTCCGCGCAAATGCTGGTATGCCTTGGAACAAATGCCCCTGCTCGGCACGGGAAGGAAGGGCTGACCGCATTTGGGAGGTAAGAAGGTCCTCATTGGCATACTGAGTACCAAGACCAAAGCGCCCCGGTCGGCGGCTGCTTGGGCCGAAGGGACGTGGATGCTGCGTAGGAGGCGCCGACGCAGCACTCAGGCGTTGGAGACGGGTGCTTACCGAGGCCCTAACGCAACTTCTCAGCAGCTGGTCGGGACAGTCAGCTTGTGCCGCACCTTCAGTGCAAGTTAGTACAGCATGCTCTGGACAGATATGGGGATAAGGATCATGGGTGTGTGTTTCATTCTGCTACGAGTGCACTTGAAGTACCTCGTGTGTCCTTGAAGCACGCGACGTTATCTTTCAGTGTTGATCAACGACAGGGTATGGAACCTTTCTCCCGAATTAATAGCATATATGAGGGCGAACGAGGCATCACGAGTCTATTCTGTGTTCACCGTGGTTTCTCGGAAATGCTGACTGTGCTTCCTTTTTTTTTTTTCGGGTCGCACCAAATACAGAAGGGGAAACCAAGGGGGGGAATATTTCCAAGGATCATGGCAAAAAGCAAAAGCCAATGTGCGAAAGCGCCACCAGAGCGAAGCATGAAGGAGAATTAGTCTTGGCTTCTTGACGCGTGCTGACGGCATGATTGGACGGAACACTGAGCCGTGCGCTAAAAGCTTCAAGCCAATAGCCAGGGGTGTTTCTGCCGGTTCATTTGCGCGTGCCGCCAATGTGAGTGTCAGTGTCCAGACTTGAACCTTCGCTCGCTTTTGGTCTTTTCAATTTTTTTTTTGGTTTCCTTTGTTTGCTTTTGGCGGCGAGGCGGGGAAAATGAATGTCATTGAGAGCATTCCATCCTCCCAGACTTGCTACGGGTCTGAGTGTGCGCGGCCCGTGCAACCTGGCATCCTGGGAACCTGGCAACCTGGACAGTCAATGCTGGGGACCAGACGAGGCATTCCAACTGGGCTCAGACCATCCTGCCATTCTGTTCACCTTGTCCCCGCCGCTTCCCGCAAACGGCTCTCCGTTTCGAGTGGAGAGTGGTAGAGTAAACTGCGTGCGTGCAATCATGGCGCACATTGGAACCCACGGGCTTCTTATACAAGCATGCATTATTAATTGTGGTGGAATATGGTCATTGCGCCGAGGAGTTTGACGCTGAGAACATCATCGTATGATGTTGTATACACTCAATGCGGTCTTGTGCGCCTTTTTCATCGACCTTTTTTCCTCCGAGCGCACCCGCCACCAATACTCTGCGCACATTGCTGCGATCTGTTGCCCGAGGGTAGTTTCCGATGGCGGCCTTGGAGACCAGATGGAAACAGTTAATATGAAGGAAAGATACACAAGACATAAGCGCAGCCCCAGCCTGTTTCTGGTGTTTTGGTAACATCAGACCACAATGAAATATTGATACACCACACCTTATTTTCTGGGGAGGGGCCTTGTACTGTTCGTATATCCGTACACCATCAGCTCTATCTCGGTGTCTACCTATCTATTGTGGTATCTGTCACTCACTCACTCTCTACCTATCTCTCTCCGGCTCCCCCTGCTCGTCGTGGTCGTGATTCTTGGTGACCCTCTATTTCCAGCCATCCCATCGGTCTATTGGCAAACTCGCTGCTATCTCCTCCCTCCTTCCCCATGTCCTCGACCATGTCCACTCGCCATTAGCGTTTCACACCAATTTCTTAGCCGCAGGAAACCCAAGTGGTGACAGACAGACAAGCGTTGGGATCGTGCTGTGTTCGACACAGTTGCGCCACCGCAGGCCCTCACTCAGTCCACCGCCCACCGCCCACTTTTAGCCTGCGCCCTAATTCTACCACCACTCCCGCTACTGCATCTCATCGGACCAGGGTTATCAGTGCTCGCCTTTTTGCCTCTTCGCCTCTTCGCCTCTTTACGCTGAAATGGTCGAGCCGCACCCTCCAGCCATACCCACTCTCTAATTCAACTCTGCGCAGAAACTAGGGCCATTAGTCCTTCCCAGCTCCCAGGTTCCCAGCGCCGCCCCTCCGTTACTCACCTCACAGGCTCACACCTCACTTGCCCATCCGATCCTCCATCTACCGCACATACTCTGGTGCCTCCTCCCACTGCCCCCAATCGCCCATTGCGCAGCGCAGATCCGAGCTTCCTGCTTTGGGCCGCTCGAGACTCAACACCTTTTGGCTTCCTGCTTGGCCTGCCCTTCCCTCTTGCACCACCACACCACCAAAATATACCCTCTTCCTCCCTTCTTAATCCTCCACCACTAATCCTCTCCCGCTCCTCCCAACCTCTAGGCCTTCACCCAGCCTACCTCTTGAAATTTATTCTAGAAGGGATTGGGACATTTACGAACAACAGGACCAGCACCATCATCACGGTCGGATTGCCTGGTTCATTTACCTTTGTCGGTCACCGATTAGCAAGCAGCCCGGATCTGCGTGGGAGAGGTCGGGTCTCACCAAACAAAGAAAGAGGAGGATAACAAGAGGACATTGTCACGCCATCCGACTTTGTTCCTCTGCCCTCGAGTGCGTCCTGTCACGTCTCTGGACAGCGCAGAACAGCAGTAGAACTCCAAGTCGTCGCTGTACGGTCGATCTCTGATCCCGTGGCGATACTGTGTTTGGCTGCCGTTTTGCTCCAAGTGAAGCGACGGCTCCATCTTTTTCATCCTCCCGGACATACCTCAGTAACTCTCGCTCGGATTCTCTACTTTCTTTGTTCCTGCCACCAGACAGGAACTTTGCAATTGATACGGTAAGTGCCTTCCCGCTCTCGTTTTACCATCCGGTGCAGTCGTGTGCGAGTGGCCTGGCGTCAATCCTAAAAGTTGGCACGGCTTCGTCAACCCTGGCTGCGCTCTCATTTCCTCGTCACATATCTCTCCGTCCGCACATTAACCTAGCCCAACACCCTGCTGCTCCTACCATTCCCTCTATTAATATTCAGGATGTCTTGAGATCATACTAACCCACCTGGTCTAGGCCTCAGATTGTCCTCACCCTCTCCGATATCACCTTCGATCGGCTACAGGTTGCTCTTAAATGAGCCTCGTTGTGCGCTAGAACACCTGCCGTCCTGATTTGCATCATTCATACCTCACAAACGTCCGAATGCCTTACACTCCACCATCACACCATACGCCCACGAGCTCCAAACAGTCGAGTCCCACTCCGAGCAGGTCTCATTCCTACATCAAAGGACCGTTGCATTCGCCAGAGTCGTCTGAGCGACACAACCTTCCTCGTTCAAACGGTTCCTCCTCGTATTTGACCAAGCACCGGCGGAGTCCCTCATTAAATGATGCAAAGAATGATATTCTTCACAATGGCGAGGCGTACGAAGTGAACGGGGCCTTTGACCCCCACGGTAGTATCCGCCAGTCGCCTCCGCCCGTGACAAATGCATTGATACCAGCAGGAATGACAATATCTCCCCCAGATTCTTCCCACAATTCGAGTGACGAGGATGAACCTGAGCGAGGACGACCGAGGGATTTGGAGGACAATCTCCAGATCCAAGCGCTGCAAGAAGCCATCCGGTCAATGGATCAGAGGAAGTTGACCGGATCCCCCACTCGTGGAGAGGACAACGATTGCGCCTCAACCACCATGACGGACCTTGTTATTACCCGTCTCGATGGCACACAATCAGCAGGTCCTGCCGTCCTGCGGCTACCCTTGTCACAAGAGGCCCGGAAAATCAGCCACTCGAGGTCTTCGACCGACTCTAGCATTGTCTTCGAGCCACCTTCAAGGCAAATCCCCTCTGTGGTAGCCCTCCGGCCAGACACTGATGACAGCGACAGCGATAACCCTCCCGCTGAGCGACCGATAATGGTGCGCAAGAAATCAGGTGAACTCGTCCGTCCAGCTCTGCGGGCATCTTCACGACGGCGCCCATCGAGCATGCCTGGAACACCGACCTATTCCAAAGCGGTGCACTTCGACTCTCACCTGGAACACGTCAGACATTTTCTGCAAGTCGACCGACCTCTCGCCGTGAGTGCCGGTTCTTCTCCCGTAGAGAACTACGAGAGTGAGAGTGATTTCCCCTTTGGATCTGACGAGACCAATGCTCGCCCTCGCACACCTTCATATGAATGGGATATCCGCTTGAACAATTTCCCGACTGACTTGGGAGCTCGAAAGTCCCAACCTGTTTTTGTTGAAAGAATATTCCTCTCCTCTGACAACAGGAACCTCATTGGAACCGTGGCGGTGCAGAACCTTGCGTTCCACAAACTGGTTGTCGCCCGATTCACATTCGACTACTGGAAGACCACTTCGGAAACCGTTGCCGACTACAACAATGATGTTCGCCGTAAGGGTAACCACGATGGCCTCGACCGCTTCAACTTCACCATCAAGCTCGAGGACCAGACAAACCTAGAAAGCAAGACACTGTTCTTCTGCATCCGCTACAATGTCAGTGGTCAGGAATTCTGGGACAACAATGCAGGCGCCAATTACCAAGTGGACTTCAGCAAGAAATCCAAGACGCCACAAAGCAAGTCCAGCTCTGGAGAGAGACCGCTGAATGGCTTACCTCGTAGTCGACCATCAGCACCTACCTCTTCTGCGAGGCCGGTCTCGATGCCGACCTCCTTTGATGACTTCTCAACCGGTTTTGACAGCTTTGGGAGCTTCGTGCAGTCCCCCAGCTCTCTGATAGGCGAGCCCAAGCTGAAGCTGAGAAGCCCCAAATCCAAAGCCGAACTTATCCCCGATGCTCCCCAGCGCCGTAAGCAGGCTGGGCCTCAGGCATTTGGGAATCGTTACGATTTCAAGACATCGTTGACGGCGGCAAAGAACAACGCCTACGCTGCCATGGGCGAGTGGTCTGGCTTGGGTCCAAGGACGTACACAAAGCAGTCTTCCCACGAGGTTTCTGCGGCTGCTCCTGTGCAGACTGTTGCAAATGCTGCTCCCAAGCATGAGACTGGCGTCAACGGTGTGAAAGTCGGGGCCAATAAAACCGCTCCTGCTGTTGCTCCTTTGACATCCAAGCCGGCTGCTTTGCTCTCAGAGAAACCCTCTCTCAGCTCACAGAGCTATAAGGAGCTCGTAAGTCTCTCCCGTATCCCCTCCTTCTCAAGGGTTGCTTCGGGATCAGGCTAACAAAGTCGTGCAGGTGGACAAGTACTGCTTTGTAGGTACCCGTGGAAAGAGCGAGGAAGTCACAACACACTGATGTGCTAATTTTTGTTGCAGTTTGGATCGGGCAAGATTGATTGCGCCGTCAAGGCTGATGGATCGGCGGAATCTGCCTCTGCGTCCGATGTGAGCAACGGGGGCAGTTCGTCCGATTCATCCGGCTCGACAACACCCACACCACCTCGAAGCATGTCTCCCGTGCTAGATTCTCAATCGCCCAAGTCATTTACGCAGTATGTCGCACGTTCTGCGTCACCTGTGTCACGAACGGGGGGGTATTTCGGCTCTCGATCTGGATCGCCAGCATCGTCCTTCGGATATCCGTATCACTCGGCGACACAACATACCTTGATGCCCGAGTCACCTACACCGACAGCAATTCATGGATAACATCCATTCCTCGCTTGCAAGAATGTTTTGCATCAACCTGGCCATTTTGTGTCCGACGTTGGCCTTGGCAGCACATAGAGAACCTAATCGATGCAGTCGGACGGTTTGTCTGATGTCCTTGACAGATCCTAGTACACCACTCCGGCAGATGGTCTATACGGAATGTCCCGGTTGTGAGACAACACGACGACAGCATCTTTTTTCGTCCTGGGGCGGGTCAAAATCGTTGCCTTTCTTGTCTGCTGTTCTTTTAGCGCTCAGACAAATTCTCTCACCTTTCTACAGCATCATCCGGGTTATGGCACCTTCGTTTCTCCGACGGCGTTCGCGAGGATTTCTCCCCACTATTGTTAATAGACGCTCCTCACATCCAGACTCGGCGGTAATCTGACGACAATCGCCAAAGTTTTAGACTGGAAATTATTCGAGGAAAGGGCCCCAAAGGGCCCACTCCACCGAGGAGCAAACGACAGATCACAAAAGTTCGATGGGTTGGAAGGCGTTGAACTTTGCTTTCTTGTAAACACCTTTTTCTTGGGACATGTTGGCTTTTTGCGGAACAGTTGTGGGATTTGGGTCGAGGTCAATTGGATTTGGAAGGACGAAGTCGCTCGCAATGGAACCCTGGGTCGAACAGTCGTCATGGCAGTTCTGGTCGCTCGGATTGTATTGTGGCCTGCACGGAAAGGGACCTTTTTGTGCTATGGCCTGGCAATTTCAGGGCGACTGATGAGTCGAGGAAATGATTTAGACGTGATCAAACATGAGGTGGTCTTTGAATATCGGGAACGTACGTCAGGGTCGAGCGACTTCATATCCTTTCTTCTGCACCAAATAAGCCGTAGTCTTCATTGCGTCCATCGTTATGCCATCATGAGGTACATACGATAGCAAATGCAAGATCTGATGATTGATGGCTCTCGTTCGGTAGAATCGGTGCGTAGTCTGTTAACGGTCGTCTAGGCGGCGGCATTCATGGAGCAATTTTGTGTCGCTTGTGTCCGTTCAGTTGTATCGACTCAGCTTGTCCTGGCCAGCCACTGTAGCCCCATGATTGACCAAGGATTGACCTAGAGAGTGGGAGGGCGGAATGGCGGCCTTGGTCCCAGATGTTCGTCGTCGTCCATACTCCGACGCCGCCTCTGTTTTGCCCGCCCTATGGGCCTCTGGTCTCCGAGCACGTCGAGCAAGTCGTTGAGCCGGGTCCGTCAGATTGATTTGTGCTACCCCTGTCTGCGTCTGTCTAGCCTTAGCTCCGGCTCCGACTGCGCGTTCACCCCTGGATTCGCGCAACAAACAGCAGTTGCCTCAGGTGCTTCAATGAGAAGTATAAGCAGCCGGGTTAAACTCCTGATGGAGACGACAGCGCCGTTTTGGTGGTTGGGGGCTGAAGAACAGTGCCAAGATCAGGAACAGGAATAGGAATAGGAACGGTAGCCACTGAGGTAGCGGTCAGGCTGGTGGGCATAGGAATCGTGATGGCGCTAGTAATTGTGAGGGTAACTGGGGCTGTGCGTGCGCGGGTGTGCTGTAGACAGAGCCGAGCTGGACTCAGAGCAGGTAGGGAAGATGGACCATTATGCCGTTACGTCGTGATTTCATGTCGTGATGCAGGCGTGCATGGACGGGTAGAGAGATGGATGAGTTAGAGTTGACTGTGAATGCTTCGAGTCGAGACGTGACGAACGCGTGAGCGTTGTGCAAAAGGGAGATATATGGTGAGGATCGTGCGCGCTGATGGGAAGTAGATGGATGCGAGATGGTACTTGTAGTTGCGGTTGTGGCGGCGCCATAGTCCTCAGGTGCATTGGCGTTGTTATCGTCAGGGCGAAGTTACCATGCTCCCGTTCGTTATAGACATTGCATTGTCGATTACCCGGAGACGAGACGAGTCGAGACTGCTGATAACAAGCATGCTCATTGCTAGAGGTTGCCCCCAAGAGATACACCCGTAAGAGGGTCAATGAGACTCTTTTCAGTGTGCCTTTTCTTTTCCTGGATCGTGGGAAGCCATTCTGGCCCCGTCGCCAGGCGCCCCAAATCGAGCATGGCTGCGGTACGGAGCGGCGCGGGTCTCAACCTCTCAGCCTCATGGTCATGCAGCGGCGATAGTGGGAGGAGACAGCCTTGCAACATAGGTTGCGAAAGACGGAAAACTGGATGACGGACAAAAGAGTGGGAGGTTGTGTCGTTATACGCCTTGGATCACAGCGCAGCGCAGCGCAGTGTGACAACATTCAACCTGCCACCAAGCCGGTCACACGGTGGGTGGCGTTGGACACGAAAGGGGTGTGAGAGGAGACGACGGCCATACGGCCTAGTCTAGGCTGGACTAATGGCCGGGAAATGGTCGTCAACCCAGACCAGAGATGAGAAGAATAGGTCACTGAAACCCTCATGCTGCGTACGTCCCAGCCATATGTACTCCCTCTATCGGGGGGAGAGAGAGAGAGAGAGTCAGTAGAGGGGAAGAGGAAGGAGGGAGAAATACAATTCTTCCAAGGGGGCTCGTGTGAGAAAAGCAAGGCAGCCACATGGTGGCTGTGATATAAAGTACTCCCACTCCCTACATCCCTGGTACCGAATGTGATGAGACCTTGCCCTGGCCCCGAGGGAGGAAGAATGTTGGATGTCAGAATGAGATGCGTTGTGTTTGCTGTGTGTGCCTGGACCCTGTTCACCGTCCTTGTTGAGTTTGTTTCGGACGCCTCAGAGTCCAATCCCCGGACAAGACAAGTCAGAGCGCAGGGGCCCGGCCAGGGGGGCCAGAAGGGGTTGCCCACGTCAATCGCCCTGACTGGTCGGGGAACACCAGTTGAGGGCTACTAGGCTCAGGGGTGCCCAAAGAGTGGATGATAGGCAGGGTCGGCGCCCAGCTCTGGGCCACTATGCCTGAATCGGATCGCTCAAGGGTGCTGCCCGACGTGACCACCAAGGCGGCGGCGGCGGTCCGGATCTCTCCTTCGCTGCTGGCTTCTTCGCTCCAGTAGCTGCAGTACGGTATCTTGGAGGGGTGGGAAAAAAGGAGACCAGCTGGCCATTTGTCTCGTGCCATTTGGCGTGTCGTGACTTGAGTGCCCCATTTCTTTGATGTGTCCAAAGTACGGTGTGTATATGTGGCCGTCTGTGCCTGGACGAGCTGGTGCAGGATAGATACAAGGCTGAGCCGTTTGATCCGTTTTGATGAGTCAATGGGCGGGCTGAGTGTTGTATACAACTCGTAGATAGGTATTCCGTACTGTGGATGGGGGGCCTGAGGTACAAGTATAGGGGAAGGGGAGAGAGGGCAAGAGAGGGGGAGAAAGGGAGAAACACCTCTCTCCTAGAGCAGGATCGGGGGATGAGGGTGAGTATATAGAGGTAGAGGACGAGGGAGGACCCGGACTGGGGCAAGTAGTAAAGCAAGAGGGTTTTGAGAATCAAGATCGGAACACTTTTCCAGCGTACCTATCAGTCCTTCCTCTCTCTCTCGATCCCCACCATCCTGTGTTCTCCATTCTCCAACCTCCGTTGTCCTTTTTCGAGTCAGCAGGGCCACGTTCGCGCGGGCGGGCTGGGCAGGTGGGCAAATAGGCTGGATCTTTGCAGATAGATTAACCAGGGAGCCTAAATTGTGTGTGCGTGTGCGTGTCAGAAACCCGATCCGAGATGAATAGCCAGCCAGACGCCATCAACAAAGCTATTATTGCGCGTGACCAGATGTGCGCAAAGAAAATTTCAGACCGGAGGCGATGGAGGAGTGCAGCGGCGGGATGGATCCATCCATGACTTGGCTCTCGCATTCCCTCCTCCTTGCTTGTTTCCTTGCTTGATGCTGGCTGGCTTGCTTGTCATTGACACTGGGCTCGACAGGTCAGTCAGTCAGTCGTACTGGTATGCACAGAGTACTCCTTGATCAGTCAGTCTGGTCCAGTCAGCGGCCTTCGGGCCTCCGTGTTCTGGAATAAACTCTCAGTCAGACTCCAGATCCGCCTTGTACCTGTCGATCCACAGGCCCTGCATTTCAACTGCCGAGTCAAAGCCTCGCCCCGTGATTGCCCGCCACGGACCCCATGTACCCTCCACTGCAAAATCGGTGAGGGTGTACCAGTACTTGGTACATACCTTGGTCTGCGAGTAACCTAGGGCTACCGGGCCTAGGTAAGTACGGCAGTACATACCTACGTGCCTTGTTGGATTTCGCTCCAATTTTGCTCCGACACTCCACTTCGCCTTTTCTGCAATTCCCTTTGTGCACGCGTGACCAAACGCCGCAGATGAGTCGTTAGTGACAGCACTAGACCAGCCCAGCTTTCCTGCTTCCAGCTTCACGAACTCGCAATTTGCTCTGCTGTGTTTGAATTTGCTTCGCCTTCTCTGGTTCACGGCTCCGTTTCTGTTTCAGGCTTTGTTCACCGACCTTTGTCCGCCATTCATACTGGTGTATGGAGTACGTCGACGACTGCTCGTCCGAGCATACCTACGCTGGCTTGCCTTGCTCGCCTGATTTCTTTTTTCCTCTCTTCGCTTTTCTTGCACTTGTTGTAGCAAGGTTCACTGTTCAGTCTCTCTGGATTTTGTTCTTTTGTTTTTTTTTCTGTCTCCTTCTTTCTTCATCTTGTCGCAAGCCCACATGTCTCTGCCGTCTAACCGTAAGGACGGCCGGAAGTCGCCAGCTCCTCACATACCAATCGAGATCGGGTTGGCTGGAATGGTCCAATCCTCAATCACGATGTGTGTGGTTAAGTGGGGAATGTTTGCTCCGACTCCAGATCGCCTCAATCAGCAGCGAGGCACCAGACTGTGGGAGAAGTAACCACCAGGAAACTTGCCGGCCGAGGCAGCTGGCAATCAGCAGGAATGCAACGAGCTGTGTCCTATGGTGCTGTCGTCTTTGCATTTTTGAATGAACTCCAATCCATTTTCCGATCCTCTCGGTCTGTGGGTAGCCGAGGTGCATTCATTGCTTACGAGTCCCTGGAGGAGCTCCAAACCCGGCGGATTACGGAGTCCACATTTCG